TAACAACCTGTGGCGTCAATGGAAACTGTGGAGATTGAAAGGACTATTTTGCCCTCATAGACGGAGGACTATATCGGACATAAATTGAAAACTTGATGACTGAATCGGTCAAGAAAATAAGTCGAGGACCAAGTCAGTACTTTCGCTATAGTCGAGGGACCATTTTGGTAATTTACTCCATTAAAAATTAGCTAATGAACCAAATCAATATAACTTTTTTTAATGCTACTGACTCTATTACAACATAGCCAATAATGCCTCCACAGGCTTGAACTCCCAATCTCCCATATGGGAGTCCAACTCGGGTGTCATCTGTGCACAAGGTGCTTGGCGAAATCAATATAACTTAAGTAACCTTTTAAATTTAATAAAAATATTTTGATCTGAAATTTTAAAGAAATTCAATTACTTATTAATGTAGTTTTAAAGTGTCGGATAATAACCAAATTTACTACGGAGTAGTTAGTATGGTATGTATAGGTGATTAGGTGTGTGCTGATGTAATTAATTATAGATTGAAAGTACTAAAGTTATAATTAAATTATTAAAAAAAAATAAAAAAGAAAAAGCTCAAAATATTATTTTAAGCATTAATCTCAGAAATTCAAATTTTGAAACAAAACAGAGCTCAAAGCATTCCCAGATTTTCAACTGGGGTGGCCTGCTGAGGGTAAATCAGATGGGGAAGAGAAGATTTCAAAGCAGAATAAACAGCAAACCATCCTTGCTCTGATGGGTGAGCCAAATCCCAGAAGAATGCCATCTTTGGATCATCGCACACTCCATATTCTTTCATCCCACTCTCATCAACGTCCCCACATTTACCAAAGCAACATGGCAGCAATGGATGTGGGAAACTAGATTTCCCTGGATGGTTGTGTTCAATGTTCATGGCAGACATGAAGGCAGCGTAGAGATCAAGAAAAACAAAGGGTGACCCATCCGTTTGGTCGTTGAGTTTGTCTACCCTTTGTTTTAACATTTGATTGTAAAACCTCGTAATGTTGTTTGTATGTTCGTCGCAGTTTGGGTAGTTGCCGGTTGTAAAGGCTACCAAGGGTAGGCATCCCAAAGGCTCCATTGCTGTCACTGCTACTTTAGGGATTCCCATCTCATGAATGCGTTTAAGGTTCAGACAAAGCTGCTTCATAATGGAGTCCACAAACTCCTGCAAACATAAAACATAGTCAACATATAGAAAGTGCCCACCTTTATACCACCACACATTTTTTAGAATATAAAAACTTCACGCCAAAAGCTAGCTAGTAGCAAAACTGTAATTTTATTTTTTGGAAAAAGGGTCAAATAGGTCTTAAACTATTGCTAAAATGTCAATTAGCCCCTCCAACATTTTAAAGGTGCAATTACACCCATAAACAATACATTTTGATGCAATGAAACCCAAATACAGATAAATGACCTGTTATCATAGGTCATTCCAAATCCGACAACTTTTCGACCCGGTCACGGAGAAGACAACCACTGGGTCACCTTCTCCGGCGAGAAGGCGACCACAGTGATCCCCTTCTCCATCGGAGAAGGTGACCCAGTGGTTGCCTTCTCTGTGACCAGTGACCATTCGCTGTCATCGATCATTTTTTTGTCTGAAAATACATCGAAAAAGTTCCCGGAACTGAAATGACCTATAATAGCAGGTAACTTACTTGTATTTGGGCTTCATTGCATCAAAATGCATTGTTCATGTGTGTAATTGTATATTTAAAAAGTTAGATAGGCTAATTGACTTTTTAGCAATAGTTTAAAGGCTTATAATTTGACCCTTTTCCTTTATTTTTTTTTATACTTTTCAATTAATATGATGTTGGATTTAGCTTTAATTTTTATGAGCCTTCACCCAACAATCTCCTAGGCCTTTGCCCGACACTTTTCTAACTCTATACTTTATTCATAAGTTTCAAATAGAAATTAAAAGTGAATTATTGGGCAGAGACCATGAAAAGGTCAAGTCCAGCACCAAGTGACTAGAAAAACTATTGGGCAGATGCTTGAAAGGTAAAGGTCCTCCTCTCAATAATATGGTGGTATAAGGATATAAAGTTACATCTTCCCTACACCTTATAATTTTTGGCATAGTGATAAATGTATGTTTATTTATATCACTTACATTAATATTTCCATGATAATTACTATAGTCATTGCCGGCCAAAGTGACAAGAGCTGCGGACGATGTGAGGTCGTGTTTGGTGTACGCATTTTGTTGAAGGAGTTGTTGCAGATAGTTTATTTGTGTTGTCATGTTTGGACCGTTAACGTATGTGTCAAACACCCCTGTCCCTCCATATGCAAAATTCATCCCATATTGCTTTGCTTCTCCATCTCCTTTCCACAATCTGTAGGGCTGTGGGGATGCTATTCCCAGATATGCAGCTGATATAACCAATAATAATAATAATAATAATAATAATAATAATAATAATAAAAGAATAATGATATTTAATTTACTATATGGAGTATTATTTTTCTATGTTCTCAAAATAAAAGGATTGGCCGAGCTCTGTGACAAGTCTAAATTAATCTCACAGTGATGGGATATTGAATGTTTTATGTATAAAATTAAAAATTAAATAAAAGTAGTGGTGGATGCGAACTAGGAACCATCAAACAGTACCTATGTAATCAGTGAGAACGCGACCATTGGACCATCTGCCGGAAGGTTTGCCGGGGAAAGTCATACCATAAGGTTCCCTCCAAGGCCTGGAAACATAAGTAGGTGGCCAATTACCGGTGTCAACATAGGAGTCACCGAAAATAAAGAGCTTTTCGGGGCAATTGAGGATAAGCTTATCCTGTGGTTGTCTCCTTGCACCATTTACCTCTGGAATTAATTATCAATTATTCAAATAGAATAAAGTAAAATTTACCACATAAAAATGCATTTACTAATTAGAAAAATATACAACAAAGAATAAAAAATGAAAAGCTAAAGAAACCTGGGAATTGGATGGTTATAATTAAAGAAGCTGAGAGACATATGAAGATGGAGAAACAAACTTTTTCCACCATAATGTATTATATATTATGTGTATTGAAATTGAGTGGTTTAGCTGCGCTGAGTGTATTTAAAGGTGAAGCTTCCATAACAGTTGCAGTGGGGAATGAAGACTTGCCAAGTGAACGAAGGTGAAGTGAAAGTTGCTTCCTCTTATATCTTCTCTCATTATTTTATTTTGTTTAAACGTACTCCGTATAGTTTGGTTAATTTAATTTTAAATTGTTTTCGGTGCAGGCGTGAGTGTAAAACGTGTGATATCATGGGTACTGAATTAAGAGGTGTAGTATAGTGTTTTGTCCAATTTAAGAACAAATTGCACTTTTGGTCCTGTGAGTATTAGGGTACTGACAATTTGAGTACGTGACTTTCAAAACTCCCAATTTAAACTTTTAACTATGCATTTTTTGGTACATTTGGTCCTCCGGGCCAAATTGCCGGCCAATTTTGGCCGGAAAAAGATTTAATCCTTCAAATTAATTTATGATGAGGGTAAAAACGTCATTCCGAGTGTATTTATTTGGGGGGCCACCTCGTGCTGGGCTAAAAAAAGGCCAAATCTCCACATTGCTTTCCGGAGATTGACTTCACCGCTGCACTGTTGCTCGATGGCAAAATCTCCACCTTCCGACCGGCTTCCTCGACGGCGTCTGCACTGCTGCTCGACCTCCTCCGCTTGCAATCAATGGCTAATTCGTATTCATCGTCTTCTTCTAATCATGCCAACGAGTTTTATGAATTTGGGGAAAGGTTTTCAATTGTCCATTGTCGGTATGGTGAGCAACTGAAGATACGCACTTCATGGACAGCTGAGAACCCAGGTCGTAGATTTTGGCAATGCTTGGGTGGTAATGTAAGTTAATTTTTAAGCACAGTTTTGTTTTATGAAATACCTACGAAAGGCTCAATTTGGTAGGGTTTTTTTTTTTTGTTTTGTTTAAATTAGTTTCAAACCCTAATTTATGAACATCAAATTTCCAGATATTTTCTGTTTTAGGAATTATTTTAAATCCTTTTTTTTTGGCAATTTGTTTATTATTGCAGAGGAAGGTGGGATGTGGTTTTATTGATTGGTATGATACTCCAATGTGCTATCGTTCAAAGCGAATAATTCCAGGATTGCTAAAACGCATCAACCGACAAGATGAAGAGATACGAAAATTGAATTCGGAACTGAGAAGTGAACAAGGTTTGAAGTCCATCAACAAGGTGTTAGTAGTATTGATTGTGATATTTGTAGCAGTAGTTGGTAGTAGGGTTTGGTAATGAAATTTCCAAGTTATGGTGTTGTGTAATGTCTGTAGTTTGGTTGGTTTTGGTAATGTATTATGGTAATGTATGAATTATGGTTGGTTTTGGTCATTAATGAATTAGGCTTGGTTTTTGGATATATATGTTTTGGTACTGTATGAATTCCAGACTTGCTTTTGGTAATGAATTTATTGGATACATATGTTGGACAAAAGCATGAAAGATACCTGTTGCATTACCATTCACAAAAACCAGTGTACATTGAGTAGTTTGATACAAAACAACTAAGACAACCCAAAAGAGACTAACTGGACTGTTTTAAACAATACAACAAAAACCATTCAGACCTTAACTTATCCATCATGTTTTCAAAACACAGTCATAAGCCAACCTAACAAGCACCTAGTTTGCAATCACTCAAGGTCAATTGGTTCACCCTTATTTCCAAAGAACTTGGATTTGAAGGTGGTCTTGCTCCTGGTATAATAGGGTTTTTTCCTATTGGAGGGCCTCAATTTCCTTTTGCCCTTACTGTCCTTGGATTGGCTATGGTCCTGCTCATCTAGCTGATGTGCTGCTGGTAGGTCATCTAGCTCCTGCTCCTGCTAGTCACCAGAGGGAAAGTGCTTTTCTGTCTCAGGTGGATGCTGTCCAGATACAGCCTCATGAGGCTGGTTGTGCCCTGAAGGAAGGTGGATGGGGATTTGTCTGGCAGTATAAATGACTCTTTTTTTTTGCTTCAACTGGGACAAAACAAACAAACATGATAAGTAAACTCAGGCATAATACACCAAAACTAGGAAATGTAGTTGAATATGTAATGAGAGGCCACAAAGTAAACCTTTTTATTTGGATTTGTTGGACATTTCCTTGCATTGTGGCCAAGTTGCCTGCACAGGCCACAATGTAACTGAATGTGTTGTCTTGACACATACTTTCCATCTATTGTCAATTCACCAGCTGACCTTGCCCTTAGCTTTTTGGGCCTCCCAACCTGCAAAGCAATTTAGTCAAGTAAAAGTGAATAGAATAATCATTAATGACTAGGAAATGCATATATACCTTGGCAGTATACAAAGGAGGCAATGGTGGGGTTCTGTCACATTGTGGCCATTCATCTGGACCTGTCATAGGGTTAATACAACCAGCATATACCTTCAAGTATGTCTCTTTGGAGTAGCAGGGATGAACAAAGTCAGTAACTGAACCCTTTCCATACTTTTTCCATATAGCACAAATGGCATGTTTGCATGGAATGCCAGTTAGGTCCCAAACCCTACAAGAACACTTTTTTGCCTCCAGATCAACCTCTTGTTGATCCCCATATAAATGGCTTACTTCAAACTTATGGAAATCACATTGTGTTGCAAGGTATTTTGCTGCATCCTTCTCAATTTTCTTCAGCTTTCTCACAATTGCAGGACATAGCAAGGCTTTCCACTCTACTGCTTTTTGTTTTTTCTCAAAGAATTTGCCCATCAACATTTTCCTAAGTGTTTCAAGACATTCAATAATTGGTTTGTCCCTTGCATCCCTTATAGATCCATTCCATGACTCACAGATGTTATTAACCAACATGTCACAGTGAGAGTGTGTAGAAAAGTGAGATCTAGACCACTCTGTTGGACTCTTATCACCAAGCCATTGGTATGCATCTTCATCTAAGCCCCTAAGTTTACTTAACTCAACATTGAATGCATTCAAAGTGGTTGCCCTAGCACAAGCCCACAGGCAGTCCTTAAGGGCCTTTCCTTGGAAACCTGCAACCTTCATATTTGCATGAAGGTTCCTCACACAGAATCTATTCTCCACACCAGGTAGCTCACTCTCAAATGCAGGAATCAACCCTTTCTGTTTATCACTAATGAAGCAATATTCATCCTCAACACCTCTATTTATTTCCAAATCAGTTTTCAGAAGTTCTAGAAACCATGTCCAAGATTCCTTTTTCTCCCCTTCCACAATAGCATATGCAAGTGGAAATATACTATCATGCCATCAATACTAACAGCTGTTAGTAGCATCCCACCAGTTTCAGTTCTAAGGTGACAGCCATCTAAACCTATTATTCTTCTACAGTGCTTGAATCCTTGCTTGCTAGCTTCCCAACACACATACATTCTCAAAAACCTGGAATTGCCACTTTCATCACTTAAGTCACTGAGTTTCACAGGACAGGTTGTCTTGGGGTTTGTTCTTTCTATTTCTGCCTTATAACTCCATATCTTCTTAAATGTATCTTCCACTTTACCTTGCCTTAGCTTCTTTGCCTTCCAAATAGCCCTATAGGCTTGTGAATTGCTAACATAAAAACCCTCCTGACTGCACACCTTGTCCTTGAACTTCCTCATCAACCAATTAGGATAGTCTTGCAATTGAGTTGACCACCTTTTAGCCACCACAGAAGACTTAACCATACCATTTTCCCATACCCAAGAACACCCTTCATGTTCATCTGTCATATTCAAAATCCTCCATGACATTGAACCAAGTACTTTCCTCAACCCTATTCTCCAAGGACACCCCTCCTGTGTACATTTAACAATCACCCTCTCCTTGTCATTTTTCAGAGTTTTAATCTCTTTGCCATTATTGAAAGCATAATTTTGCACAACCTCTCTAAACTGATGTTTAGATGCAAAAGTCATTCCTAAGCTAAACTAGGGATCCTTCATGTCTGTTGCAGCTCTAAATATAGGCCACTTACCCTCAACATCACTATCAGAATCAACAATTGACTCCTCATCTGAAAACTTAATTTCCACCTCATCATTTGTCTTACATTTTTTTTTCCTAATTTCCACACAAGCATCATCCACAGTTCTAGCTTCTTGTGCTAAATTTGTAGCCTTCTGGTGTTCTGCAACCTTCTGTTGTTCTGCAACCTGCTCTTCTACCTTCAAACACTCTACCTCAATTGCATTTTCTCAATCACTTTCTGCCTCCAGTACTTCCATTTCAACATCAATCAAGTCCACCTCATCCATTGTTTCAACCCAAAACTCCAACATATTGCCTGGGTTCTCCTCATTCAATATTTTTATTACATCCATGTCAGATTGTAGCAACTTCAAACCACCATTGGAAAGGCAATATATTAGTGTTCCTACTTCACAATACCCTAAATTTTTAATCATATCCTTCAACACTTGAAAACAAATTTCCCTAGCTTCCATTCTGTCATAAACTTCTACATCACTACCCATATATTTAACCTCACCTACCCTATTTATTACTCCATTATGGAAAAGGAAAACAGAAAAAGGACCAACTACATCCCCTGTAAAGAAACCATTTACACATGCAATAGTCAACATATTGGACCCCACAGACCACAAAGCAATAAAGGTATACAGAAATTGTTCCTACTCCCAGTTTATGCACATGGCATGCTTGACAAAAGTATTAGTATAGTGGTGGTGCCCACACAACACAACACAATAAGACGAAATGTTAAAAATACTTGCCCATAAATGGTCCCCGCAGAACAAAACAACACTACATAATATATTCTATGCATATTAAAAGCCAGGACAAAACCCTAGATATGCACACACTGTCATTCAACTCCACACACACCCAAAATAGGCAACCCAAACAACAAATATGCTCAGACACTATCAATTTCTTCAAATTTAAACTCCGAACAAAAGTTTTCTTACTTAGTTGTAGACCCATTCCAGTTGCAGATGATGAAGCTCGCCCTCTCCAAACCCAGAAGATGATGTCCACAATTGATGCTCCAGACCACTTGACACAATCGATGCTCCAGAAGATGACTAGTCGAAGATGCTTTTGTTCGAGCTTCCAGTAGTCGAAGATGAAGTTCTTTGGATTTTCCCCCCCAATTCGTTGCTTTCCCCCCAATTTGCAAGTGGTGTTGTTGACTAACTGACCGGAAGGTGTTTTCCCCCCAAATACATTCACTCAATGACGTTTTTACCCTCATCAGAAATTAATTCGAAGGATTAAATCTTTTTCCGGCCAAAATTGGCCGGCAATTTGGCCCGGAGGACCAAATGTGCCAAAAAATGCATAGTTAAAGGTTTAAATTGGGAGTTTTGAAAGTCACGTACTCAAATTGTCAGTACCCTAATACTCACAGGACCAAAAGTGCAATTTGTTCTCCAATTTAATCTTTGTATATTAATTTTGTTTAATTTAGTCATTTTATTTTAAAAAATGGTGAAACTAAGGACAATGGTTAACGGTGTTAATATTATCATTAACTTAGCTTGTGTGGCGTTGACATCATTGCTGTCACATCATGATATTTATATTCCAACTCATATATTATTTTATAAATATTTAAAATTAATTATTTTTACCACTAATATGTATTACATTAATATGTCCAAAATAAATAATTAATATGTCCAATAAATAATTACAAGCATGCTGACATCAAGTCGTCGAATCTCATTAGGAACATGGTTGTAATTATTTATTTTGGACATACTAATTTAATATATTGATGGTAAAAATAATTAATTTTATATATTTATAAAGTAATTTATGAGTGGGAATATAAATATCATGATGTGACAATGATGATGTCAGCGCCACATAACCTAAGTTAACGGTAATATTAACACTGTTAACTATTGTCCTTAATTGCACCATTTTTTAAAGTACAAAGACTAAATTGAACAAAACGCTATAGTACAAGGACCTCGTAGGTACTTTGACCGAATTAAGATGGTGAAGTGTAAGTGGCATATTTTTGCAACACGCGCAGCCTAGCGCGAGTAGATTTTTTACAACACTGATCTTCGAGATGGCGTAGAAATGTGTTTGGGTGGCGTAGTAGTTAACCAAATTGGACAAAGACTAAATTGAACAAAATAAAGGTATGAGGAGTGAATTGTGAACAAAACGCTATAGTACAAGTACTTCGACCGAATTAAGATGGTGTAGTGTAAGTGGCACATTTTTGCAACACGCCCGCCTAGCACGAGTAGATTTGATCTTCGAAGATGGCGTAGAAATGTGTTTGGGTGGTGTAATAGCTAACCTAATTGGAGATGCAGGGGATTGAACCCTGTGCTTCTTGTATGCAAAGCGAGCGCTCTACCATTTGAGCTACATCCCCTAGCAACAATTTTGTAGTCAAAATAATATCAATATCTAAAACAATAAGATATGCATTTTTAAAAAGTTAGAAGTCACTCTATCAAAGCCAGGTTTCGATCCTGGGACCTATGGGTTATGGGCCCACCACGCTTCCACTGTGCCACTCTGATTTTGTATTTTTAAGTTATTATAGGCAATAAAAGCATAAAACAAACATCCAATAAGGTTAAATACTAAATTATGACAATAATGTATTTCTGGAAAGACCGTAACGAGCGCGTCTTCAACAACGTAATGACTATTCTACTTCCAGAACCAAACCAATCACGCGATCCAACCAATGCACGTAATTGATGTAAAGTATCAACACCTTCAAGGATGACAAGAACCCTCTTCAAACAAAGCCTTTGCTTTATTATCATACTCATTCCTCGAACCACATTCACAACATTCAAATTCCGATTCATACTAACTTTCTCTAGTAACTGTTTTTGAAGTGAAACCATTCCTCGTTTCCTCAAACTTTTCACTTGTATCAAACACACATTCTCGAAATGGTCGGAGAACATGTTAGAAACTCTCCTCATCAATGTAGTGGTAGTGTTACTATTGATCCCCCAAATCCCTAGAAAGAGAACACCATCAGAGGCTGCTGGTGAGTCCATTCTCAACAATGAGTTCAATCTAGGACAAATGGTATTCTATGGAGGCTATACTTTTAAGCTCTTCCTTCCTCATAGCTTCTAATTTTCTTTGGACTTCTTTAGTTATATCATGAATGCATTTTGATTATATTGATCCCTTTACGTATATATAATTGTTTAGAATATGTAAATCAAAATTGGTTGAAATATAACCAACTTGGTTGGCGTGAATAGTCGTGCATTCTCATCCTTTAAGAGAGGTCGGGAGTTCAAACCCCTCTCGTATGGAAAAATCAATCTGGTCAGCACTTTGTCCCTTAATTGGGCCAACCCAGTGCAAATAGGGATTAGTGTGAGTATGTCCCATATGGAAAAATTAATCTGGTCAGCACTTTGCCCCCTCTAGTGGGATTAGTCTGAGTATGCTAAGGCTTAAAGCTATACACTATTTGTGTACTAAATGTATATTAGGTGAGATTGTGTGACATTGTATAGTATGTAACAGTTGTGATTGTTAATCATATATAAAAGGCTCATACCTTATCAACTTGAATACTTTAAAAAATCATTTGCTCCGCACAATTATAATACTTAAACAAGCTAAGTATTATTTTACAGAATTTCATCTCTATTTAATATTTCGAAGGTGGTGCTGAGAGTGAAAGGAGATTGGGAAGGGAAGTTTCCTGCAAAGCAGAATAAACAGCCATCCATCCTTGCTGCGATGGGTGAAACATATCCCAGAAGAATGCCATCTTTGGATTATCACACACTCTGTATTCCTTCTTTCCACTCTCATCAACCTCCCCACATTTACCAAGGCAACATGGCTGCATTTTATGTGCAAAACTACCATTCACTGAAAATTTTATGACATATATATATATATATATATATATATATATATATAGAGGCGGGTTCAGGTGCGGCAGTGTCTTACGGTGCGGTTATTTCTTACGGTGCGGCAACACCAATAGTTCACCAAATATGCACCATCAACGTTAGGAAATACACCACACAAAACAGAGTAAACAGAGCCCTGCTTCACCAAACACACACCATTAGGTGTGAGTAGAAACACCATACACTGTTCGGAAATACACCATTGGAGGTGGTGAGTTATATGGTGTGTTTTTTTGAGTCTGTGGTGTATTTTGTAATGTTTTATTACATTTCATTGGGGTGTGTTTTTATTACACTGTTGGTGCATATTGTTAACACTGTTGGTGTATTCTGGAATTTGACCGCACCGCCGCACCGTAAGACCCCGCCGCATATGAGCGCTCTTCTATATATATATATATATATATATATATATATATATATATATATATATATATATATATTACTCCATCTCTAATAAATATGTAGTCTTGCTATCAGCTTAACATATTGTTGGATCAAGCTAGGCTGGTGAAGGGCCAAATCCAGCAATTCAGCCAAATTATGCCGTGAAACCGTGTCCACATTATAAGGTGGATACGGTTTCAAACTGCAAGGTGGACACGGTTCCAAAACTGTTCATAATTATGAATATATAGTTCTAAAATTATGAACATAATTATGAATATATAGTTCTGTAATTATGAATATAGAGATTCAATATTGTGAATATGAAATTCAAAAATTATGAATATATAGCTTTATAATTATGAACATATACTTCAGTAATTATGAACATAGAACCATGCCCAGCATAACGATTGAGCAATTGATGGTTAGTGGGTTGTTGGACGGAGGCTTAGCTTGAAAGGACAAGTCCAACACCTAGTCTCTCGAATTCGTTACAAGCTATACCTTTTGGCGCAATGGTAAATGCTTGAACACATACCTGGGCGGTTGTATTGAATGTTCAAGGCGGACATGAAGGCGGCATAGAGATCAAGAATTACAAAAGGGGATCCATCGGTTTGGTCTTTGAGTTCCTCTATGTTTTGTTTTAATAGTTGGTTGTGAAACCTGGTAATGTTGTTTATTCTTTCGTCGCATGTATTGGAGTAATTGCCGGTAGTTAAAAAAGCTACTCCGGGTATGCATCCCAAAGGTTCCATTGCTGTCACTGCTACTTTAGGGACTCCCATCTCATGAATGCGTTTAAGGTTCAAGCTGAGCCTCTTGGTAAGCGTTTCAACAAAACCATCCATATGCTGGAAACATATAACATAACATATTCATTTAATATTGTACAAAATAATTTTATGGTAATTGAGTGGGTGGATCATGATTCTCATACTTAAGAATCATAAGTTTGATCTTTTTGCCCACAACGTACTCTTGGTCGGTCCGAGCCCGTCGCATAGGGTCTTTCTAAGTAAAGTTTACCTCTCTTGTGTAATTTGCAGACTATTACAGAAAATCATACTCTACCCGCTCGACCACCGCAAATTATGTTATGCATCCGTATGCACCATGCATGGTGCATATGGGTGCAAAAACGACGTCGTTTTGGTTAAAAGACGCACGTCCCACTTAAAAAAGAAATCGGGTTCGATTCCCGGCAATAGCATTTTTATATATCCATAAATTCATAACTATATATCCATAAATTCATAACTATATATACACAGTGAATGAATGAACTAAATATCCACAATGAATGAACTATATATCCAGAAATTCATAACTATATATCCATAAATTCATAACTATATATCCACATTGAATGAATAAAGTAAATATCTACAATGAATGAACTAAATATCCACAATGATTGAACTAAATATCCACAATGAATGAACTAAATATCCATAAATTCATAACTATATATCCAGAAATTCATAACTATATATCCACAATAATGTTATTGCCGAGAATCGAACATGAATTTTTTTTTTAAGTGGGACGTACATTTTTAGTCAAAACGACATCGTTTTACATCGTATGCACCATGCATGGTGCATTTGGTTGCACAGCATAACTATTGCTCGACCACCCAGCCCTTTTGGGCATCTCCAACTAATTTGATATTAAATTACTAATGCACCTTAGCTTACTTAGAAACCTGCCTTTTCCAAAATGGTTCTTTATGTACAGGCAAAATAACATTTTTGGCCCTTAAATTATTATATCATTTTTGAAAATTCACTAATCACTTAATTATATATTATGTTGCACTTTCAATCAGTATTATATAATTATGAAACTCCATTAACAAACTCTTTTTTATGAAGTTAATTTTGTTATTTAGGGTCCATTTGAAAACCCGTAAAAGACTTCTAGAAAATATTTTCCAAGTTCCCTGTGTTTGGATGCAATAGAAAAACACAGTCAACATAAAACACATTTTCCGTTGACTGGGGAGAATGTATGCATTTTGACAGAAAATGACTTCCGCCAACCGTGAAAGCATGTTTCCAGCGGAAACCAGACTCATGGGCATCCTTAATTATACAATTCTATCTATTTTCTAGAAAATGAACCAAAACACACCAAGACAGTTTTTCAAAATGCAACCAAACACGGGAAAGAAAAATATTTTCTAGAAAATGACTCATTTTCCAAAAATTATTTTCCGGGTTTCCAAACAGACCCTTAAAATCAATACCTATGATTAAAGTTTCATTCTCTTCATGTAATTGTCATTTTTAACCGTGAATGTTGATTCTAAGTGATAAATTAAAATAACCTCATATGTTAATAGAGCCGAATTTAACAATTATACATATAACACTAGCTAGGGACTAAATTAAAGTGCAACATAATGATAATTAAGGGGCTAGATTTGCTTAAATTAATTAATCTAAGGTGTTTATTTCAACCACTCACCTTTGTATATGTATGATAATTATAGTCATTCCCAACCGAAGTGACAAGAGCCACGGACGAAGTTAGGTCATGTTTGGTGTACACATTTGTTGGAGGAGTTGTTGCAGATAACTTATTTGTGTGGTCATGTTCGGCCCGTCAACGTATGTGTCAAAGACGCCACTCCCTCCGTACGCAAAATTCATCCCATATTGCTTTGCTTCCCCATCTCCTTTCCATGCTGCATAGGGCTTTGGGGATCCAATTCCTAGATATGAAGCTGATATATATAACCATAAAATTAAAATTATAAATTATTTGTGACGTTCTGATCTTAAAATAAATTGATAGTTAGATTACACATTTATATTTTATGTATTATTATATGCTACACAATTAGGGTTGACCTATGTAATCAGTGAGAATGCGACCATCGGACCATCTGCCGGAAGATTTGCCGGGAAAAGTCATACCATAGGGTTCCTCCAAGACCAAGAAGCATGTGTAGGTGGCCAATTACCAGTATCAGCATAAGAATCACAAAAAACAAACAACATTTTAGGGCCATTGAGGTTAATAACCTTATCCTCCTCCTGTGGTTGTTTCCAAGCAGCATTCACCTCTGAAATAATAGAAATTAAAGTAAAAATTAAGACATAAATAGGATAATCTCAGCCAAGTTGATCAGGCTGTTGACTTAACAGCTGATCCGTTACGAGTAACCTAAGCTGGTTTACACCAACTTGAAATATTAAGGTGAGGTATGAATGTATATATACCTGGGAAAAGTGTGGTTAGTGAACAAGCTAAGAGACATAAGAAGACGATGAAACAATCTTCTTTCTCCATAATGTATTAAATTGATGTTTTTTCTGGTTTTTATTCTGCTGCTTAGCTTGTACCTAAATTAAATTAAAGGTGCAGTTTTCTTCAAAAGTTAGAATGGGGAAGATGAAAGATGCTTCCTAGCTTCTCTCATTTGTTTAAACAACGTAGTACGCTGAATTGGTTTACCCAATAACATTGGATAAAGGATTAATATAATACGTGCGTACTATAATATTATTATAATATTATATATTACCACCTAAGAATGTCCTTCATATTGTATACAAACAAACAGTACATGCATATATATAGTTTTGAAAGGAAATTAAACTAAGACGTCATGCATGCATGCATGCATGGTTTACACAATAAGTTTATGGAGAGAAGATTTCAAAGCTAAGTGTACACTAAACCAGCCTTGTTGGGAAGGATGAATGACATCCCAGAAGAAAGACTGCTTTGCATCATCACACAACACATAATCTTTCCTTCCATTCTTGTCAACACCCCCGCAACCGAATTGATTGCTTTTGCCCACACAGCATGGCGTCAATGGATTCTCAAAACTTGAAATTCCTGTTATATATTTAAGACCATACATACTAGGTATCATCATCATCATCATCTAGGGTTTCATATTTAAGGTTTACCCTCAAAGTTGCAAATTACCTGGATGGTTTTCGTGTATGTTCAAAGCTGACATGAAAGCGGTGTAAAGATCAAGAACCACGAAAGGCTGACCCGCCGCAGTTTCATTGTTGAGCTTGTCTATACTTTGTTTCAACATTTGATTGTGAAACCTGGAAAGAGAATTCTCAACTTCACTGCAGTTTTGGTACGAGGTTGAGGCAGTGAATTGAGGCAAACATCCCAAGGGTTCGATCGCCGTAACACCCACTTTACCAACTCCCAAACCATGTAGGCGTCTAAGGTCTAAGGTAAGCTGTTGAATGATCTTCTCTGTGAAAGCTTCAATATCCTGTATATATACATAGTAATTATTTATGCTCAAATTAGTTTGTTAATTAGTGCTTTTTAAGCACTTTCACCTGAGACAATCTTAACCAACATATAATATTATATTTTCAGTAATTATACCGTGAAAATATAATATTTATTGACTTAATAGAAAGTATTATTTACTCCTTCCATCTTATTTTATGGGTCTAATTTGGTTAACCACGTATACTTGGGGTGTGTTTGAAAATCAAGAAAATTACTTCTAAAAAATAAGTCATTTTTTAGTGTTTGATTGCAATCCAAAAAACTGTTTCGGTGTGTTTATTTTATTTTCTAGAAAATGAGCAGAATTGTATAATTAAATCAAAACAAAATCACAGCAAAATAACCGGGAACCATAGATCACAACAAAATCTGGTGTCTTGGAACCAGTATGGCCGACTGGTTTTGATTCGTAAACTAGTAAGCCATACTAGTTTCCGTCGGGTAGAGAGAGGGTAGAGAGGCGTTGGGTAGAGAAAGACTTGAAAAATGACTTTCTCCGCCCACCCAACCCCACACACAAAAAAAGAAAGTTATTTTCTTGAAAATCTTATCTATTTTTTATTGACCAAAACATTGTTTTCCATTGACTTTAAATTTTCCTCCTTGAAGTTATTCACAATTTAATTTTTAATAATATTAAGTTTATAAAATTATATGTTTAATTTAGAACTACACTAAAAGTATTACTAAATCCCCAAAAAAAAAAAAAAGAACTAAATTAAAAAAAAAAATTAAAAAAAAAAAAGTACTCCGCTAAAGAAAATAAAGAAAGAAGAAATAGTTAATTGACTAAAAAATAGTAAATATGACAGATAAAATGAAACAAAAGAAGAAAAAATAATCACAGAAAAATGATTAGTTTAACCAATAAATAGTAAACAGACTTATTATTGTACATAGGTAGGGTGGTTAAACAAACAAATGTCAAATGAAAGTTGTATTACCTGTATGTTTCCGTTTTTGGCGACGGTGGCGTAGTCATTTCCGGCGACGGAGACGAGAGCAATGGAAGAACGTAGGTCTCGTTTGGTATACACATTTTCTTCAACCATTTGTTGGAAGAAATTTATTTGTGTCGTCATGTTTGGCTTGCTCACCAATGTGCTGAAGACACCTGTCCCTCCATAAGCAAAATTCATACCATCTCCTACTATTTTCCCACCAAATTCCCTCCATCTATATGGCAGTGGAGATCTTATTCCCAAATACGAGGCTGAACCTCAAAATAATTCATTTTCATGATTATTACATAATTATAATTACAAGTATTTAATTATACGTAATTTTTTTAATACATTCTAACTTATTTATATTATTTGTTCAATAATTATTTCAATTTTAATTGGGATAGAACTTGAACCGAAAACATTCATTAGAAAAAATTACAATAATGCATCATACACTCAAAAATTCTCCATATAATTACTAAAACTTAAACCTAAAAATTTTATCAAAAAATAAATAAATTGAAGAATATGCTAATAAATACTAGCTCACATAAGAAGAAAATTATATACTCAATGCTCTAAGATGGGGGACCAAATTGGTGCATCATGATTCTTGAACCTAAAGATCACAAGTTCGGAACTGAAACAAAATTTACTCAAGGCATCTTAAGTACTATTGTGGGATTTTCACGTCACCTAAAAAAAAAAAAAAAAACAACAACTATATATTCAAAGTATGTATTCTTTTTTTTCTTTTAATGTTTTTGAGGTAGTTAGACGGGAGGTTGAGAAAAAGCACCTATGTAATCAGTGAGAACACGACCGTCGGAGAATCTTCCGGTGGGTTCGCCGGGGAAGGTGATGCCATATGGGTCCTTCCAAGAGCTGCAGTCACGTCGCGGCCAGTTCCCCGTGTCTACATATGAATCTCCGAAAACAAACAACTTTGTAGGCGCATGCTTGTGTCTCCTTGCACCATCAACAACCTCTATAAATGAAAAAGAAAAAAAAAAAAAAAAAAAGATTTATTACCCCGAAAACATTGTAGTTTATCGAAACTCTTTATAAGAGATCCCGAGATGGTTATATGATATACCTGGAAAATTGGTGGATAAAGAAATGATGATGAGACACAAAAAGTAGACGAAACATGGTTTGCTCTCCATGTCTGCTTTCTGTATCTCTTCTGCTTGAAACTTTTGTACATTATGGAAATGTGGTTTTCTATGTTTCTTTTATAGAGTTATTATTACCGGCCACCTACTTCCACTTGTCAACATTTCCCTACCAAAGAAATTGATTTAAATTTTTTAATTAAAACAATATACAAAATATTGGTATACAGAAAAAGTTACAAAATATATCATTAAGTTTTTTAATATAGTGTTATCAAACTCGAAAAAGAACCCTATAAGGTAAATGTACCCATTTTCTTAATACAAAACCAACCAAAAATGAAAACAGAAGAGACACACTACAACATTGTTTTTGTTCATCTTTTGTTTTTCTTCTTGAAGAATGGTAGCCAGCTAATGGAACGAAGAGAGAAGAGGCGTTTCGGTGTTCTCTTCATCGTGTTCTTCTGAGAATTTCTTCCATGGTGTTTCCAGTTTTAGCGTGCATGCACAGCATAAAGCAACAGTCTGAAGCAAATTCGATCAGTGGGATGACAGAATACATTTCAGATAGGCAATCCAAACATACAGACCCCGGAAAATGATTGCGATTTAAGAGTGGGATGAGCTTACCATGCAAAAAGACGCGCATATGATGCTGAACCCCTTGCAGTTGAAGGGCGCTTTGTCAGACAAAAACCAGGCTGCAAAGACACGAACGAAGTGGTAAGCGTGATTACGTTGTTTGGAAATTGGAATGGCGGTATGAGCACACGAGAGGAAATTTTCACTTACTAGTCAGTGGACTCATTGCGATGGGAGATAACAAGCTCACAAGTGATTGTACACCAGCAACGAATCCCAGCATTTTGCCCTGTGATGGAAGAATTGAAGATAGCACAAAGGCAATATAATACATCATTATCGATTATAATTGAGCATATATAATATATAAACATAAATGTACAATCCAACTATCAGCTTAGACTTTTAAGTTAAGATGCAGCACATGCTTCAATTTGGTATCAGAGGCTCAGAACCACTATGTTATGGACTTATGGATATATTCTAACCTGATCATCCGAGCTTGATGCTCGGGATATTACAGCATAAATCTGTCACAAGCCAAAGTATAAAGGGAAGATGGGTCAATAACAAGCAAAAGAAATTCTGTATTAGTTTGGAGAACGATACATACAGCAGGTATAACTAGGATGTAGATGACTCCGAAAGATGCACCTATATAAGTCACCTGCATAGGCAATTCTTTGCAGTCAACTACTGTATGATATTAATTAGACGAGTAAAAACGGGGAGTAATTGGCAAAGAACATACCCAGGATGCCCACGCCAATCCATAAAGCAATGCCTAGTTTTCAAAGTGCATTATGAGATAAAATTCTTGAGATAAAGATGCACCAGGAATATAAATTTCAGTTGTTTACTCTGGTAATAAAGTGAAGATCTTAAGGGCATCTTACATATACTATTGATGCTAGCAACGCTATGCAGAGTATCACTTTCTCCCCGGCAAATGGATTGACAAGTGGAAGCACGACCATCTTGAAGAAATACAGAAAGAACACAAGTGAGTTGAAAAACGTCGATGCCATAATCAATGCTTACGAATGCATATACTTCATTTCATCTAGGAATAACTACAAGAAACTATAATCAATGCCTACGAATGCATATAACAAATTCCAAAATTATACTGAAACTGCAATTTGTTTAAAGAACGTGCAAAATGAGAGGACACCATATCTAGAAATGCTTTAAGATCTTTATACGATAGGAACATGTGCTCTGAAAGTACCTGAGAGACAATTGAACCCACTCCCACTGCCATCAAAATATCTGAGAACTGATTTTTGTCAAAACCAAAAGCTGCTTTCAGATAATGCTGCAGTGGTGAGAAAGTTTAGAAGCAATATATAGGAGTTAAGGATTTTTCTTAGATTAAATAATAAGAAAAAGTTCAATTATAAAGAGCCCTTTAAATGAAACCATCATATATACAACTAAAAGTAGATTTTGATCTTTTAGATAGCAAGGTTGATACCGGTAATACACTGTCGATGCCAGATATTCCCAGCTGGTAGAAGAAAGAAACCAGACAGGCACACTTTAGCGTCGGACTACAGGAAAAAGTAAAGCAAGATATTATTACGGAAGCCAAAACATTAGAATTTAGGAAGAAATTACTCGAGAATACCTGCTAACGACAACTTCTAGAGTGGTTCTCACACAGTAGCATTGCTCCCGACAAAACTTCTTCACCTTGCTCGGGCAGGGCAAACTTTGTTCAACTCCTCCATCCGGAGTAACCGTCTCCACTAGATGCAGTGCCATATAAAGCGGAACAAATATCAGCAGGCACAATGCAGCCTGAAGAAGGAAGCTCATTAAATTGTTCCGTGATATTAACAAGAGACAAAGGACAATTTAGAATGCTTGACGTGTTTGGGCATCAACACACCTGAAGAATATTGTAGTCCTCATGAAGAAAACGTGATGCGAGGTTTCCCAAAACATGGGATGCAGAAAAAAGGCCTGTAATCCAACTAAAAGCCGTCGCTCTATTAGTCTCATCGACAACATCTGCCTACAAGATTAAATTATAAAATTTATAACAAAAAAACAAAACAAAACAGTGTTTGCAATAAGATTGCTAATGACTTTGGCTTTGTTTTCTACTCAGAATTGTCCAGTACCTACCGCATAAGCAATTGAGATGCAGAAAATGCTTCCTTGGCTTATTATATAAGAAATTGTCTGCATCACATAGTAAGCATACACGAATCCCCTTGACTTGTTGATGGCAAGTAAAACTGAAAAAGTGAAAAACAAAAATAGGTGATAGACTTAACTTCCATGTAAGCAAAATCAAAGGGAAAATGACAAAATTCATATTGAACAGGAACCCATTCAGGACAAAAACAAACTAAAAATTTTGTTGCATAACACAGACAAGATTGATGTTCATTTTGTGGTACAACAAGTATAGGATAGTGCACCAAATGGTATAATTGTCGTAGAGGAGGTGAGGAGGAGAAGGGGTTTGCGCCCATAATCATCTGAAAGTTGGCCAAGGAATGGAACAACTACCATCTTGAGTACTCCAACAACCTACATGTGCAAAAGCATGAATCAGAAGCAGGGAGGATTCGAGCATAAAGAGTTTAGTTATGCAAAAACATAATCTAATGATATTAGAGCCTCTTTCACCAAACAAAAATAAAATGATCAGGAATACATTGCTACTCAAATTGCATTCTCCTTCCAAAGTTAAAATGTTTCAATAAACTCAATGTAATTAATTTGTTGCTCCCTCCATCTAGCTTTTATTGGAAAATCTGAAGTTCAACCAGAAATCTAGCAATTCATTTTGCTACAAATATTCCGAAAATTTCCTCAGTTGCTTAAACAACTTGAAATTAAATGCACTTATACCTATGATAAAAGGCATTTTACAAAAGTTAACATTAAATTTTCCAGGACACCACAACCACACTAACTACATATATAGATTTACATGTACATATAACATATTTCATGTCCCACAGAGAATGAATTTGAAGATCTTATATGAGAAGTAAAGAAAGTTTCATTTTTCACTCAATTCAAATCAAATCAAATCAAAGAAAAGCAAATGCCCACTTACAAAGGTGCAATCTTTATACATCCATGATCCATACACATACAGAGACATGTAGAGAGAGAGAGAAAAGAGAGCAAGGGAGAGTTGATAATACCGTGTGTTGAAGCCCATTGATGTAGGTGGATTGAGAGCAAGAAGACTGGCCATCACAGAGAGCATTGGTGGTTATATCAACCAGCATTGGCTTTGACATCTCCTCGGCAATCCAGTGAACACATAGTGGGACTAGCAAATGCACCAATGGCTTAAGCACTCTCATTCCCATTCTCATTCTCTTTCTCTCTCTCTCTCTCTCTGGAGTTATGAGAAGCACATTCAATCGCACTGTGAATGCAGCAGAGAGAGCAAAGGGTATTTGGAGGTGAAACTTGAAAGTGCTTTAATCAACTTTCTATTTCAGATGTAGTCCACTGCCCCAAGCTTATATGGAGATGTACACTACGCCTCTTAGGTTGTACACTGCCTCCCTACAAACTACAAATGATCGATGGCCTACCCACTACTGTGGCCGTAGAATTGGCAATTACACATGTGCCGCCGTGGCCGGCACTGCCACTGCTTCATCTTCTTGTTCTTGACTTTAAAGGTCTACAGTATATAGCTCAAAATATCAAGATTAGGGCAAAAAAATTTACTCCATATGCTAAAACTCTTAACAAACAAATTTTGGGCTTTCTTCTTATGAACAATGAAGCATTGGGTAATACGAAATTTGTTGTTTATTTTTTTCACAGTAAGTGATGGCTACCTAACTCGTCAGGTACGACACTTTTGGTTTTTGTTATACAAGTGAAAGAAAGAAACAGCAAATCTACTACATCAAACGGGACCCAGCAACGCACAGTGTATTGTTTATTAAAAAAAAAAAGGCTCTTTTGAGTTTTGAGGTGACCGTTCATTTAAAGTTTTTTTTTTTTTTTTATCAAAGCATCCACTTTTGGTCATAGTATTATTTTAGTATTATATTTTTTGTCATTTGTTTACAAAACAATTTAAATATTATTAAATATAATGACAGTTTGGTCATCAATTATGATTTTTTTTAAATAAACATAAAAATATAGTGTGTCAACCTACTTTGTATTTTAAAAAAAAATCAAAATGTCTTTGTATTTAACGATATTTTAACGATTTTATTGACGGATGATTAAAAATGGTTTTTGTCACAATAATAATAGGACTAAATGAAGATATTCTAATAAAAAATGACTATAAATGGAGTGTCATCTATAAATTCATGACAAAAAATGAAATTAACTCTTTTTATTTTGTCAGGCCATGAGGTGTCCAGCAAATTAATGACAAAGTGTTGATCAAATTAGTTTTTTCATATGATAGGACAGAGCTAGATTATGACCTTTTAAAAGTAGATACAAATCGAATAAATTATACTTTTTTTTTGAGAAAATAAATTATAGACTTAATAATCGCTTAATGTTGTGACAATTCAACCCACATGAATACATGATTACTGCCAACGTATTATTCTCAATAAATTAAAAGAATGGAGACATTATAATTCACGTTAATCACACTATAGGCCATTGTGTATTATTTGAATGCATCAATAAAACCAATTCAAAATGAGTTATTTTCATTTTTTTTTTAAATTTATAGGTCACAGTTCAATTTAAATTTTTTTATCAGAATATTTACTTTTGGTCCTAGTATTATTGTAACATAATCATCTTTGGTCCTTTATTTACAAAACAGTTTAAATATTATTAAATACAATGATATTTCGGTCATCAATTATAGCTTCTTTAAAATATATATATATATATATATATGTATATATATATATATATATATATATATATATAGCAAATCAACCTATTTTGTATTAAAAAAAATCAAAATGTCTTTGTATTTAATAACATTTTAACGATTTTATTGACGGAGTATTAAAAGTGGTTTTGCACTTTTGCAACAATAATGAGTTAATACTCAATATAGTCATCGACTATAGTGGATTTACACAATTTAGTCCTAAATGACTTTTTGTACTCAATTTAGTCATCGACTTTAATGATTTTATACAATTAAGATATTATTTCTAACAGTCAACTAACTGAATTTTTAACAAAGGACTAAATTGTTAAAACTATCAAAGTCGATAACTAAATTGAGCACAGAAAGTCATTTGGAACAAAATTAAGTAAAACCGTTATAGTCGAAGACTATATTGAGTCTAACTTTCACAATAATACTAAAACTAAATGAGAATGTTCTAATAAAATGAACAGGACTATATGGTCTAATGGTACCCGGGTTGGACTTCCATGTGGAAGATTGTGAGTTCAAGCCTTAGTGGAGGTGTTATTAGCTCTATAATAGGGAGATAATAGTACGCGCTTAAGCGCGTGTGGAGAAAAAGCCTGACGCGTCTGTTTAGCTTCATTTTTTATTTTTAATTTTGGTTTTTTTTAGCTTCATTTTTTATTTTTAATTTTGGTTTTTTTTTTCTCCCCTCCCATACTCTCTTTCCTAATCACTCTTACATTATCCCCTAATTCTCCCCAACTGATGTGGATGCTCTAAATTCAGAACCAAAAATTGAATTAACTCATAATAATATGTTGGCAGTAATCACGTGCGTTGAATTATCACAACATTAAGCGATTATTAAGTCTATAGTTTATTGATTTGTATCTAGTTTTTAAAAGTCACAATTTGTCAGCCCCTCCCCCGTACATTGATTCATTGCTTATCTAATATATTTACCTGTTTTGGTTCTAATTAAAACCAAAACCAAAAAAAAATGGCAATTTCTGTTAATTGATGTTTTTCTAAAGTGCTTTTTAGATTAGTTAACAAGCATAGCGTTTAATATTTTAAACTTTATTTTTTATTTTTGACATACAACATCAGTTATATCGTGCACCATGGTGAACATAACAATGTGCGCCCAGACACAAAACACGCACGTTTCATGCTGACGTCACTACGTCCGTCCGAACAGACCAAATCCCATTATGTTATTCAGTTAAAAATTTATGTTTATTGTGTTATGAGTTTATGTGTATTTAGTTATGAGTTTGTGTATTATGTTAACCAAATTCCATTATGTGTATAAGTTAAAAGTTTATGTGTATTCAGTTAAGAGTTTATGTGTATTATGTTAACCAAACTCCATTATGTGTATTCAGTTAAAAGTTTATGTGTATTATGTATTATGTTAGATTATGTGTATTCTGTTATGAGTTTATGTGCATCTGAAACAGATGATTTTTTTTAACAACTTAACAAAATGATGTCGTTTTGGGAGGCGCAGGGCGCACAGTGCTATGTGGGCCCTGGTGCACGGTATAACGATTGTAATATTTCCACCATCGTAAAATTATAAAATTAATATAAATCCCCAACCAAGTTAGTCAGGTTGCTATTTGGTAACCACAATGTTACAAATTCGACTTCCAACCCAGTAAGAGCGACTTATTGACTTTCGTATAGTCCTTTATCGACTATGGTCACAATGCGAGATTTATCTAGTATACACCCTCAAGCCGTGATTACAAATTTCGCTCGTCACTCAAAATTAATCTAAATTCGGATTAGACTCGATATAAAAACTTAGTTTAAAACTCTTTAACATACTAATCATGGAAATTTAAAACAAAAAAATTAAAAGGAGACATGTATTAGCCTTAACGTTTTTTAAATTTTCATGAGATTGCAGCATACCCCACAAAAATGACAATTTTTGACTTAACTTTTTGTATAAAATCTTGTTACAAAGTGATGTGACATGTGCCATGTATAATCATTCTTCATATTTATAAACTAATTACTGCATACACCCCACCCATTTTATGTGTCTAATTCAATTAACGATGATATTTGACTAAAATTAATTTTAAATTAATTTGTTATAGTGTTAATTTTAATATTAACATATAAAATTTATATATTTAGAAACTACATTAAAAGTACTATTAAATAAAAAAATTAAATTTTAAAATAATTTTAAAAATATTAAAAAATAAATAAACAAAGAAAAATGAGTTAGTTTAACTAATACATAATAAATAGGACATGTAAAATGTGATAAATGGAGTATTAATTAACATATGTTGTCACAAGTTAATTAAATAAAATTATGTCAAATCGTAAAAAGAAATTATTAACAAATTTGAATCCATATATATAACAATATTGTAATTATATTTCTGTGGTGATAAAAAGGTATTGGGGCAATGTTTGGCAAACCTAGTTGAAGAGGTAGATGGAAGTTGAAAAGTAGCTGAAAACTAAAAAGTTATAAGCTATAAGCTGGAAACTGAAGAGCTGTTAACTAGTTAGTTATGCTTAAAAGTGTTTTGGTAAACTTAGTTTTTTATAAGCTGATAAATGTAAAAAAAAAAAAAAAAAATTAAAAAATAAAAAACTAAAAATGACATTTTCATATTATATCATTTTTATATTATTAAATATATGAGATATATTTAATTTATTAAAAAAAGTTTTTGTTTTTATAATATATATGAGATATATATTAAATTAAAACAAAAGAAAAAAAAAAACAAATTGGTAAGGGTAAAGGATGTCATTTATTTATGAACGGATGATTGGAGTTATAACTTTAAGGAGTGACTGGGTGGTGAAAAAATTGCGGAAGATGATGAACAAAAATATAGGAGAAGAGAAAAAGTCGAAGGATTTTATTTGGAAAGAGTAAAATATGCATTTGTTTAAAATAATAAGGATAAAGATGAAAAAAAAAAGTTAGGAAGTTCCTGACTTATTTTCAAAATAAGCTCTTATTTTAAGCTACTAGCTTATTTTGGGAACATTACTAGTGTGAATTTTGTTACAAAAAGTACTATGTTATATATTTGTTACTAGATTGGTTTTGTTGTGTAGCTTTTATAGTGCGATAGTGCATTTGTAGAATGTGTAAAAAGATAATGATAGAGCATCCTCAATAGCATTAAATTTTTTGTGATTTTTGAGGTGTCACAAGAAAAAAAAACACATATATTCGCGCGCCCAGTGGGCGCGTGATATGCACGCGCCTGTGGGCGTGAATATTGCGGATCACGATGTTTTTGCCTACTTTTTCGTAGCTCGCAAAGCTTGGTGAGGAAAATTAATGTTATTTCTTATTGTAGATCACGATGTTTTTGCCTATTCATTTACCCATATGTGCAATTATCTAAACTCTGACTACAAACTCCATTAAATCTTTTTGATTGATCACTTTTCCAACATGTACTTAGTTCGTTTTACCAGCCTTTTCACTACTTCTGCTCGCCTTTTCACCCGTTCTCCCCTTTTTTTGTTCTTAGCCAGGTGTAGGCTATCATGGTTGTTCTTCACTTTGGCCTTCATTCATTAATGTATCTTCAATCCAACCACCTGATTCCAAAGTCTTTCGTAAACTCCTTTTACAAGGAAGCGTGGTTGACTTAGCACCAACTCATTTTTTAGGCCTGCAGCCAACCCAACTCCAAAGCATATTGTTGACTCCTTTTACTAGGAGGTGCGATTGACTGAGTGCCGACTCCTTTTACAGGCATCTAGCCAACCAAACTCCAAAGCATTTTGTCGACTCTTTTTACAAAGAGGCACGGTTGACTGAGCGTCGACTCCTTTTACACGGATGCGTTGTCGACCGGGCGCCAACTCCTTTTACTGGCCCCCAGCTAACCCAACCCCAAAGCATTTTGCACACTCCTTTTACAAGGAGGCGCGTCGACTCCTTTAACAGGCCTCCAGCCAACCAACTCTAAAGCATTTTGCCCACTCCTTTTACAAAGAGGCGCAGTTGATCGAGCACCGACTTCTTTTATAGGCCTCAAGCTAACCAAACTCCAAAGCATTTTGCCAACTCGTTTTATAGGGAGGCGCGGTTGACTAAACGCTGACTCCTTTTACAAGCCTCCAGCCAACCCAACCACAAAGCATTTTGCCAACTCCTTTTACAATGAGGCGTAGTTAATGAGTGCTGATTCATTTTATAGGCCTCTGATCAACCCTAACAACAAAGCCATTTTCTACCGACTCTTTTCTTAGGTAGGCGCGATTGACCAAACGCCGACTCCTTTTACAGGTCTCCTATCAACCCTAACAAGAAAGCCCTTTTATACCGACTCCTTTTTCAAGGAAGTGCAGTTGATTGATTTTTCAGGCCTCTAACCACCCCTAACAGTAATTTTCTCCCGACTCATTTTACAAGGAGGCGCGGTTGTGCTAACTCATTTTACAAGGAGCGCGATTGACTGAGCGCCGACTCTTTTTATAGGTCTCCAGCCAACCAACTCCAAATCATTTTGCACACTTCTTTTACAAAGGAGGCATAGTTGGACTGAGCAGCGACTCATTTTACAGGCCTCCAACCAACCCAACTCCAAAGCATTATGCCAACTCTTTTTACAAGGAGGCGTGATATGATAAATTTGGAAAGACAAAATTACCCTTATGATTACAACATAATTTGTTCAATCAAAATTTTCCCGTGAGTTCTAGTTGGCAATTTAATACGAGGGACTGAAATTGAGAAAAATTGAATAATTGTGAATCAAATTGATAATTTTAAAACTCGTAATCTCCAATTAACAATAAACCAATAAAAATAGGACCAAAAGTGAAATTTGTCGTCATAAAATTTAAAATTTTAAAACTAAATATAATATTTTTACAATAATCATGAGATTAAAAATAAACCATTTTCGCTCAACCAAAAGATCATGAACCTAAATCAAAAAAGTCAGTCGGGTCCGAACCGACTGTAAATATCTAAGCATTGTCCGTAAATAAATAATTTAGCCCTAATTCGTGCCTTAGCGCTGAAGATCTTAAGTCGGGCAGAGAGCAATTGCATATCGTTCGTAGTTCTAAAGGAAGCGAGCTTCGTCTTCCATCTTTACGCTTCCGAAATCCGATTTACAACTTAACACTTGTGCTCAAGTTTTCAATTTTCTGCTGATTTTTCTCAGCAGCTTCAATTAAAGGAAGTCGATTTTTAACTCCTTTTGTTAGTATTAGCTCTGGCAGATCTACGATCGATGGCGAGGGAATTCAATGTGCCGCCGGTGGTATTCCCGTCCGGCGGCGGGAACCCGGCCCCGCAGCAACGTCGTCTGCCCACAGCGCCGTTTCAGCCACCCAAGTCTTCGAACCCTAGCATCCCCTTTATGTCTTTCGACATCGGTTCCGCCGCGGCGTCCACCTCGTTCTCCACCCCGCAGTTCGCCTCCACCACCATCGGCGGCGGATCCACTGGTTTTGAGGATGAGCCGCCGCTTCTCGAGGAGCTCGGGATCAATACCAAGCAAATTTACCAGAAAACTATTTCGATTCTTAACCCTTTCCGAGTCAAGGCCGATCTTCACGAAGATGCTGATCTTTCCGGGCCGTTTCTGTTCCTGATGGCGTTTGGGCTTTTCCAATTGCTCGCTGGGAAGATCCATTTTGGAATCATACTGGGATGGGTGATCATGGCTTCTGTCTTTCTGTATGTGGTGTTCAACATGCTCGCTGGCCGAAATGGGAACTTGGATTTGTATAGATGTGTTAGCTTGATCGGCTATTGTATGCTACCAGTTGTGATCTTGTCGGCAATATCATTGTTCTTGCCTGGTGGGATGGCAATTAAGGTGGTAGCCGGGGTTTTTGTTATATGGTCTACACGAGTTTGCACGAGGCTTGTGGTCGAGTTGGCATCATGTGGGGATGAGCACCGCGGGTTGATTGCATATGCTTGTTTCTTGATTTACACGCTCTTCTCTTTGCTTGTGATATTCTGATCCCAGCTGAAACTAGGATGTGTATTTGGATCTCATGAATTGGATACTTTATGTACAATGTGATACTTCTGCAAGGCTTTAAATGATGCAAAATCGATTTTGTTGATAGGTGTTGTCGGCAGAGATAGACTTATAGTGTTGAATTTTAGGCAATTTGAGTTTCATCATCTACTGCTGAGGATCTAATTTTAAGTTCAAAAGATTTGCCAGAAAGTCTCATTCTTGTCTGCTACATATGTGTTCTTTATTAATGTGGCATATTTTCATGTCTTGTAATGTTTTGTCACAGTGTTATATATGGGTCAATTTCATCTTGTTTCCAGGGCTTTTCTTAATTATGAGGTGCCATATGTTTACAATGACTCAGGACTTCAGATCCATCTTCTTAACTGTGTGTTTCAGATCATTTAATCATAAAATTTGCCTGATTTCATTCATAAGGTATAGCTAGTTCGTAGGTGATTGCTTTTTGTTTGGGGGTTTTGATTTAACTATTATCCTATCTCTAACTGTAGTTGTGTGTGTTATGGGAGGGATGTGGAAATCCCCTTTTCTTGAATTGTTTGCTTTAGACTGTGTTACTAGCTTTGGTAATAGTTACTAGTTAGCTTATTTCAAGAATCCACTTCTTTTAGCATTATGTTTATTTGATAGAAGACCATTGAATGCTAAATTGCCTTCCTTTGCTATACTTAAAACTTTTTCGCGTGCATCCTGTCATCCTGTGGTGTTCTTGCAGGGATGATTTCAGTGCTTTTGTGTTTTAGTTTTAAGGTGCCAAAACGCCGGTCTTAGTATATCTAAAGTTATGAAACTAACCTAGTAGCTTGGGGCAATTGGTAAGCCGATTGCTGTCTTGTTGATTTGCTGTTATGCACCAGTGAGATGAGCAAAAGTCACACATTCCATCAAGTTGTTCATTTTTTGGTACTTGCTCCTGCAAAGATGATGGACAACATTACATAGGGTGCATTGAAACCGAGTTTTCTGATTCAACAATTTTCTGCAGAACTTAATTACCTTTGTTTTTGTCATTCATGTCTGGTTTGAACTTTGAACAATCTCATTCATACTTCTTGTGTCCTCCTTTCAACTTACCTGAAGCAATGGAACACAGTATGGTTGGCAATCAGAACATGTGAAATGCAGTGATAATGACAAGCTCATCCCACGTTATACACGCTCTGCCACTAGTTTTTTTGCTACCATATTTGCATTTCCTTACTCTCTCAAGTATGATAGTTCTAGTTCAATGGTTGAGAAGTGCATTACCCTTGGGTTCTCAATCCGGAGGCATTAATATGGTGTTTGTGTCTGGTGGGACTTCAAGAGTTACAAATTAGGTTGAGTTACAAATTAGGTTGAGCTGTAAGGGACTTGCGCTATCTTATTCACACTTCAGGGGTATTGTTTGAGGATATTTGTTATTAGTAAGAGTCATATCTGTTGGGTTTTGCATAATTTTTTAGGATATCATGTAAGCGAGAGACAAAAATGGGAGAGAAAAAGAAAAGGAAAAAAATGTTTCTGATAATTAAAAAAAAGGGATTGCAACGGTTATAAAGTCAGAGTGGCCTCCAGCTGGTGGCCACTCTGACTCGCCCGTCACGTAAGAGAGAGACAAAACGGGAGAGTAAAAGAAAAGGGAAAAAAAGCGTTTTTGACAATTAAAAAAAGGGATTGCAACGGTTATAAAGTTAGAGTGGCCGCAGCTGGTGGCTACTCTAACGGGCGCGGAGTGCGCTCTAAATGTGCACTTCAAGTTTTTTTTTTTCTGCTCTCCTGCAAACATGTTTTTGAAGGATAGAAGTTTTGCTAAAAACCCCATCAGTCAAAAATCAATTGCTCAATTCTTTACTGTTCTAAAAATCAAGAAAAAATCAATTACTCAATTCTTTACTGTTCTAAAAACCAAGAAAAATGCGCTGTTGTGGTTGCTCTAACTTTAGCAAGTTACAAATTAGGTTGAGTTGTAAGAGACTTGCGCTACCTTATTCACACTTCAAAGCCGTTCAAGGGTTTATTTAAGAATATTTGTTATTAATAATTAACATTATAAAAAAGAGTAACAACTCGTAACATTAGTAAAAATGATTGTAATTTTTAACAAAAAGGGTCGTAATTGGTGGTGCCCTTTAACAGAATTTTTTAATACAAATTCCTTTAACGTGTTACTGTTACCATCATTAATAGAATTTACACATGTTTGGTAAAGTTATAAACTAATTTCCTTAACAAAAATATACATAATTCATTATAATAATATCAATAAAATAGGTACTCTTAATCTTCATTGTTATAGTTCACATTTCTCTTCAATGTAAAAAAGAAAAAAAAAAAGAAAAGGATTTCACATGCAGAATAAAACATGTTCCATTTCTCATTCCCTTTTTAATTTTATTTCACATATAAAACATGCTCCCTGAGAAAAATTCTATTTTGGAGAGGGCAAAAAAGGGGTTTAAATGATAAAAATGGAAATAGAGAAAAGAAAAGGAAAGAAAATTGAAGAAAAAGACAAAAATCAAGCCCACCATGTATGCTCGGTACTTTCTCTCTCTATAAGCGCAATTTCTCTCTCTTACTGTTTTCTTTCTGACACTCTACATTCTCTCGCTTCGATCTCCTTGATCGACGAATGCCGGTAAGCTTTCGGCTCTTCCGTAGTTTAATTCATTACTTTTGCTCAGCTCTCGCTGTTCAACTTCTGTTTGTCTTTGATTCCTGATAAACCCTAGATTTTCGTTGTACTCAAACTAGGGTTTGAAAATCAGTTGAAGTGGTCTGAATGGTCAGTTATGCGTTTGTTCTTCATTTCATTTTCGGTTTTGATGCTTTGCCTCTGTGAATTTTCATCAGGCGCTTCGTGTTTGTTAATTTGGTCTGTTAGAGTTCAGTTTATTATTGTTCTTGTTTACATTGAGTGGAAATTTCAGTTTTATGGTTTCTTGTTGCTTTTTTTAAAGCAATTGCTTTCGTTTTATGTTTTGTTTCTCGTAATTCGGGTAAAAACCTGAGCTTTTTACTCCAGACTTTGGGTTTTGATTAGTACTGTTAATGGAGAATAGACACCCATGGCAGTTTGATATCTAGTAAGCGAATGAATTTTTGAATTTTTCAGAATTTTAAGAACACGTCGAGTGCTACTCAACATTTCAGTGTGATTTTAATGCATTTTAATTACAACGCGATCAACAATATGGGTTCTGGATTCCTTCAGCATTCCTTTATGTTGAAGTGATATAATTTTTTCCTCCTGGTTTTTCTTCTTTTAACTATCTACATCATTTGATATCCTGCTAAAGAAAATTGAAAAGAAAGGGAAGAAAGAGAACTGTGGTGTGCTTTTTTGACAGCTAGAATGTGTTGAAATTATATTGGAGACTGAAGAGTGCTATTAAATTGGTAATGCTAGGCCCTATATAGTGTGAGTGATCTGGAATGATGCTTTGGGGCGTAAACTTGGGGACATTGCCTTTGGTCAATGGTTCTTAGTCTTGCTGCAAAATGATTACCTACTTTTTAAATTTTAGCTGCTGTAGCTTTGCTGAAACTGTTATAGTGCTATTAACTGTTTTTCTTGTTTGGTTTTGTTAGGGTGTTTGAAGTCAATTGATAGGAGAAGGTTCTTTGAAGAGATGTGGTGTTAGTTCTGAGTTTCGTTATGGCTGGGAATGCAAGGTTTGAATTAAAGTCTGCTAGCCCTGACTCAGGATTTGCTGGCAATTACAGCAATGGGCAGAGAGTTTCTTATACTGGTCCAACCTCGGATAGGTCTGGGAGCTTCAATGAGGGTGCTGGCAACCGGGTGTTTGGTTATGGGAAGGGTACATCTCGTGCAAGTGGTACATTGACGGGGGATATACCTCCATGTCGTATGTGGGAGCAAATTATAATGGGTGAACCAAAATATACTCGTTCAGTTGAGTTGAGAAGGGTACTGGGACTATCTGTAGGAAGCACCTCTGAAGATAATTCTTTTGGTCCTGGTCATTTGAAGCCTTCTCCTCCTGTATCTATGGATGAAGTAAAACGTTTTAGAGCTAACCTTATGGATACATGCAGCAAGGCTAGGTATACTTTTCTACTGGCTATATTCAATTACTCTATGGATTATGCATCCTTTTCATTTTCTATTTTTTAACTTTCTTGATGAGTATTCTTTTATTTGTCTCTTTTATATGAAAGATACCTTTTAGGGGCTGGATAAGGTGTCATTTTTTTTTGGGCTATTCGCTCATGGTCTTAAGATTTGTGTATGGGTTTTTTGGATTGGTCTTTAACTCAAATTGTGAAACGTGGTTTTTTTTTTCTTTAATATTACCTTATGGATTATGCTGTGCTTTAGTTTTTGCTAGCTTAGTATATTGTTCTATATTTGTCCATGGCCTGGCCCGCCTAGGGAAGGAATTTGTTAGAATACAAACATGATAATGCTTTTGTTATTGTATGCATTATATATTTTTATGTAGATTGGTACTTTGCTTATTATTTGAGCTTTTGTTTTGATTAGTGGTAGAGCAAAAAAATTTGATGAGCTCCTGCATAGATTGAACAAATATAATGAAGTCAATAGGAAACAGCAAAGGAATGAGCTATTAATAAATGAAAGAGCAAGCGCTTCAAACTTGAAGATGGGGACTCAGATTCACCGAGGGCCTTCAGAACTTGTAACTCAAAAGTCTGATGATCGCCCTAAGAATGGTACTCTAAATAAGCGTGTACGCACATCAGTTGCAGAAACTCGGGTTCGTAACTTATATGTTGCACTTTATTTTGTTGAGTTTTAACATGTAGTTTTATCGGAATTCTTTTTCTTTTTTAACTAAGAAATTGTATCAATGGGCACCCGGGGGGGGGGGGGGGTTGCATCCAGAATAGAATTTCTGCCTTCTTTATTCAGCAAAGTTATTAAAGTTCTTTTGTTTCTGTGCTCACATTCCCTTTCACCAAACTTCTACCTATTGTTTTCTTATTTCTTTACGAGGATTATGTTTGTTTTTGCAAAACAACTTTTCAACAGTATCCATTCATCACTTCTCCAGTTCTCCTTGCCATCTGTGGATACAAATAGCATATCTTTCTTCTTTTCTTTTTTTTTGTAAATTTATTTTTTTAAATTTTGCCCCTGCAATTTTGGGTATATCTGCTTATCCACCACCTTCCTTCCAGTCACATGTAACAGTAAAGTAGTATTTTTTTTTGCCAATGACATTTCCACTGCATTAGAATTTTACTTTACTTTTTACATTTTTCTTCAGTCTGAATACCGCAGTAATGGCCTGCTGAGGCAGCCTGTATTAATGACAAAAGAGCGAGATATGCATAAGGACAATAATGCAGATCCCGATATGGCTGAAGAAAAGGTTCGCAGATTGCCTGCTGGAGGTGAAGGATGGGACAAAAAAATGAAAAGGAAACGCTCAGTTGGTGCTGTCATTTCAAGACCCATTGATGATGATGGTGAATTAAAACGGAATGTGCATCATAAGCTTTCCAGCGAAGCTGGCTTGCCATCTTGTGATTCCCATGGCTTCAGGTAATTGTTTTGCTGTTATAGGAGAGTAGTCTGGTCTCTTCTCTTCCACATTGACTTTTATGACTTGGGAGGATGGTTCAATTCTTTTGTGTATTTTGACCTTTATAAAAGATTCTTGCTTTATTACATTCATGTCATATTAGTATATTAAGTGAACAATTCTACCTTTTCAACTCATTTACATACATAAAGTTGTTGAAATATGTGAAGATAACTTTGGGCTCACTGATCATGAGTGGCTTCTGGGAAATGCATGATTTTATATCTGCTATATGCTACCAAATTTGACAAAGGGTAAAGAAGACATGTGAAAACTTGTGTACTTATCATTTGTTGAAGATGATTTGGGATTCTCTGATCATGATTGGCTTCTTGGGGGTGCCTTTGAATATATCTCTTACATTTTACTGAGTTTTAAAAAGGTTAAAGAAGACATGAGAGATAAAAACAAAGGTGACTTGTGCACCTTTGCAAAAATTGAAGTGTTGAAATCCTTGTGTTTCTTGAAACCATTATTCTCTCTGCAAACAGTTAACCAAAAAACACATTCGCATTGCTTGGTTGAAGATCACTTGAAAATTTACTGTTGAAAGCTAAACTCATATTGTTTAAGATACATTGATAGGAGTTTTATGCATTCATGTGCCAACTATTGAAGATAAGTAAAACAAATCCAATGGTTCTTGTGTCAATGAGTCACTGAATTCTCTTAGTTTTACATCCCAGGACATTATTTTGCCAAAAAGGTATATGGTCATGCTGTAATTTACATGCTTTAATATAATGGGTATTATTGTTGTTCCTTGATGAGCAATGATCTGTTGTTTTAGGCTTTATTTTGCTATTTCCATTTCCTGGTGTTACTTTATGGTTTGGGGGTGGTTGTAAACTCACTTATTTAAATCTTATTTCAATTAGTATATTCAAAGCCATCTCATACTTGGCAGATCAGGAATGCCTGGTGCTTCTGGTGCTAATTGCAAATCCGAGGGTACTTCATCACCTGCTAGTTCTAGTGGTCGTGCATTACAAAGTGAACAGGAAAAGTCGACTCTTTCTAGGGATTTGACAGTTGGGTTGAATAAGGAGAAATTTTTAGCAAAGGGAAACATTAAGTATGCTTCAGTTGCCATATATACCAATTTATTTCAGTATGGCATTACCACAAGGCTATAACCTTCAATTAATTAATTATTATTATTATTTTTTTTCATTTCTGGTTTTGCTCCTATAGATTGAATAGTTGTGAGGAAAGCAATGCTTGTCCTAGTCCAATTACAAAAGGAAAGGCCTCAAGGGCTCCACGAAGTGGTTCTCTGGTTGCAAATAATTCAGCCTCCACTGCTTCTCGAGTACCTGGAACTCTCGAAAGCTGGGAACAGGCACCAAATTCAGTAAAGAACCTTTCTGTAGGTGGGGCCAATAATCGCAAGCGTCCATTTCCTGCAGGATCATCCTCACCTCCCATTACTCAGTGGATTGGTCAGAGACCTCAAAAAATTTCTCGAACAAGGAGGGTTAATCTTGTATCTCCAGTGTCAAACAATGATGAGATACAGATGCCATCTGCTGATGGGTGTTCTCCTTCTGATCTTGGAGCTAGATTAACTACTAGCACAGTGAATGGTCCTCTTTTACCAAATGGCTCCACCAGTGGCACACAGAACATCAAAGTCAAGACTGAGAGCGTTTTGTCTCCTGCTAGGTTATCAGAGAGTGAAGAGTCTGGTGCTGGTGAAAACAGATTGAAAGAGAAAGGCACTGGCTGTAGTGAGGGAGAGGAAAAAGCTGCACATGCTATTCAAAATATTGGGCCTTCTAACTCACATATGAAGAAAAGCAAATTCCTTGTCAAAGAAGAAATCGGTGATGGTGTACGAAGACAAGGGCGTAGTGGAAGAGTTTCATCATTTACTAGGGGTAACATTTCACCTACAATGGAGAAGTTGGATAATTTATCCACTTCCAAGCCACTTCGTCCTACGAGGCCTACTTCTGAAAAGAATGGCAGGTGATGCATTTCTTCCCTTGATAGAAATATAGAGCCTCTTTCTCCATTAAAAAAAAAAAAACAGTTCTGTTCAAGATAAAATGTTTTCCAAAATTAGGAAAAAAAACGAAAACAATGTTTTCCACCTCAACAAAGGAATTTGGAAAATGCTTTTGTAGTGTTTTTCAAACATTCTAAATACGGAAAAAACATACTCAACTTACTATTATCTAACCCCTCTACCACTTCCACCATTGCTATCATTTTTACTTTCATCCCCCATTATGTGCCTACTTATATCCCTACCACCACCCCCATCTACCTACACCCCACCACCACCCCCATCTACCTACACCCCACCACCACCATTAATTGTTAACTTTACACACTACTATTTGCCTACCTTCACCTAAAACTACCTATTTCCACCACAACCTACTTACCTCACTGCCATTTAATACCATTGCCACATGCCACTTGCATTTGTGTTTTCATATGAAGGAAAATTGGATTGTAAATAGCTTCATATTTTATAACTTTTAAAATAGTTAAGTTTGACCATAATTCTAATTTTCCAATGGAAAATGAAAACTTAGAAAATTTTGGAAAACTGGTGATGGACAATGAAAAACATTTTTTTTTTGTAACTAACCAGGCATATAGATTTGTATTTTCTAGTTGCTGCATTTATTGTTTCCTCAATTTTCGTGCATGATATCACTTTCTCCTTAATTGCCACAGTAAGTCAGGCCGCCCTTTGAAAAAGCAATCAGAGCGCAAAGGATTTTCTCGTCTTGGGCATCCAACAAGTAGTGGTTCCCCAGATTTTACTGGTATGCTTAAAAATTTGTTTTCCTATGATGCTTATTGAGTCTATTAAATGAAGGTTGCTATCTGCTTCTTTAGATAAGGAAACAACCATTATGAATATCTGCTGGCTCTATGAGAATTTAATTCAGTTTTTGTGATACATGTAATCATGTATACTAATGGTCGATTTACCAACTTGAAAAGAAATTCCCTGGGGGCAAATTAAGGAAAGGGAAGAAGAACTTTGATTTGGATGAATATGCCATATGATTAAATTGTTGCAGGCTACCAATGTGAAAAAAAAAATGGGTTTTTGCACTAGGATGTGTAGTATTTTTGGGCTTCCAGAGTCCAGGCCATTTGAAAAGGAATAGATCAGCTATTAAATTCTCTTTGTTTTTCATTGTCTCAAGCACATAACTATGCTGTTGATTTTCCCTCTTTTTCCAGGGGATTCAGATGATGGTCGTGAGGAGCTCCTATCTGCTGCAAAATCTGCATATAACTCTAATGGTATGCATACTGAAAACTTCTTGCTTCCTTGTTTCTTTTTATACACAATTCTTTGGTTATAGAGAGAGGGAGAATCAAATGTGAAATCTCTATAGATGCTGACGCTGAAGTTCTATGTCGGTTGCTTTTGTAGTTCATGCCTGTTCAAGTGCATTCTGGAAGAAAATAGAAGCCTTTTTTGCTTCGATCAGTTCAGAAGAGAAGTTCTACCTTTCAGATCAGGTGGCTACCTTAATCAAAGTATTCATACTAAGATACTGACCATAATGCTCTATATTTTGTTTTCTTTAGTTGATCTAATAAAGTTTGTTTTTATTTGCAATCAGTTGAAATCAGCAGAGGAACTTCATGCAAAACTAACTCAGTTTTCATGCCCAGAAAATGGTGTTCTGGTACTTTCTGGAGGCAAATATCTTTATTTTTACTGCAATTTTTTTAATCACTTTTCACTTGTTCACTTCTGAAACTTAACAACCTTGTTACAAAATTTTATTTCTTTTTTCTGTATATTCTGTTTACACATGATCTTTATGTGCATCAGAAAGTATCTTTAAAAGCATATTTTGAGATGCCATTTTACTATGTTGCATTTACCAAGTCCACTATTATAGAATTCATTTGTGAAAAGAGGACTATATTCATTGTAATGTACTCAGCGCTTTTCTAGGGAATTTTACTCATTTTAAACGTCATTATTATGGTTTAATCAATTACCATAGTTTTGTAGTATTGATATTCTGGACACTGGAGAGTTAAAGATGTGTCATGCTTAATTCTGATTTTTAATTAAATCTCTGCTTCTGCTATACATATAAATATATACATTTTTTACTTATGCTTGCTTTCCCAGGGTGATCACGTGCAAGACGAAATTTCTCTCTCAGACACATTTTCTGGTGATCGAGACAAGTGCATGAAGAATCAATGTGGATCAAAAGATTCAGCTAATGCAGATCTTGTTGATAAAGTTCAAGATCCTATTTCTTGTGCAAAACCAGACTCTAGTAAAAATTTTGACAAAGTGACTCCACTTTATCAAAGAGTATTATCAGCTCTGATCATAGAGGATGACCTTGAAGAATTTGAAGAAAATGGTTATGAAAGATCTTTATCACTGCAGGGTACAGGGGATTCACCTGATGAGGCATCCCCTTTTATTGATTGTGGTAGTAGAAACATGGATAGGACGGAGTTTGAATGTGAATCTGTAGTTGGTGTTGTTCAGTTAGAGAAGAATAAAACCTCAAAATTTGCTTCTTGCAATGGATATGGTACGTACACTAGTAATGCCGGCATTCGGGATTCTCCATATAGTAATGAAATGCTGCTCAGAGAGAATGGGTTCATGCATTCAGAGATTGGACTGTTGGTTGACCTTTCTAGATGTAATAACTCTGATGGTCCACAAAATGTGCTGACTAGTAGTTTCAGTGTTTCCTCCTTGGATTGTCAATATGCTCAAATGTCTGTTAATGACAGACTTTTGCTGGAGCTGCAGAGCATTGGTCTTTACCTAGAAGCTGTGGTATGCTTTTTCTTGTTATCATGCTTATTGGAAGGATGCTTCTCTCCTTTTTTTTTTTTTTTTTTTTTTTTTAATATATATATTTTTATAAGTAAAAACTTCTTTGCACGTTTGTTTGAACTGATTGGTGACAAATATTGTACTTACCAATACATATGTATATATAATGTATGTATGAATTTGGCATCAACTTGGACATTACATTGGAACTCTTTTATATATTAATGCTATGCTCCTTAATACTTGCCCACAGAAAATCCTATGTTCATTTAATATTTTACTTTTTCTTGCTTATTTTGGGTGTCGCTGGACTGTTCAGCCTGATTTAGAAGATAAAGAAGATGAAGTGATTGACCAAGAAATCATGCAGCTGGAGAAGGGACTATATCAACAGGTTATATATGGAACTTTGCTCCATTCTCAATAACTCTTCCAATATTCTTTTTATAGCCTAGTATTTATATATAAAAACAAATGACATTCCTAAAACAAAATGGTTTTTGATTTTGTTTTCCTGATGCCTGTAGATTGGTAAAAAGAAGACATACCTTGGTAAAATGTCACATGCAATACAAGAAGGCAAGGATGTGGATCACTGGTAAGATATTTTATATTATGCAAACTAATAGTTCTAAAGCGAGGTAATTTGGAGTTTCATTTAATCTAATTCCACAACAGCACTCAGTAAATAAATTTGGTTATTATCCAGGGACCCTGAGCAGGTTGCAATGAATAAGCTTGTTGAGGTGGCTTACAAGAAGCTCTTGGTAATATATATTTCTTGCCTCTTGGTTCATTATACTTGCTTACTAAACATTCATGTCTGAGATGATCTAATACCAAGTACTCTTGGGAGTGCATGTATTGCATAATATAAAGGGTTCTTGCACCTGAATTGTATAAGTTCTTATTCACTATGTGGATAAAATATAACAGGCAACTCGCAAAGCTTCCAAAATTGGGGTGCCTAAGGTGTCAAAACAGGTGGCATTGGCTTTTGCTAGGAGAACACTTGCTAGATGTCACAAATTTGAGGAATCAGGGACAAGTTGCTTTAATGATCCCGTATATCGAGACATTATTTTTGCAACCCCTCCTAGGTTTAGTGAAGCAGAGCTTTTAGCAGGTACTACCATCCTATCTTTAGTTTAACACAGTTTTGTTAGCTTAAGCTGTTGGTTATATCATATATTGAAAATGATTATTTGCTAATGATACCTTAACAGCTACATTCAACTTGTGTATTTTCTTTGCATTCTGTAATGCAGTATCATATCCTTTGCTTTACAGGGTCCAAGGGTAGTGCTGGGGTATTAGATCCATATGATAATCATCAATCTGATCAGGCGTTTGCTAGAAATGGACCTTTATCAAACAGGGGGAAGAAAAAGGAAGTATTGCTTGATGATGTTGGTGGTGCTGCCTTTAGAGCCACGTCCACTCTGGGTGGTGCTCTGTTCGGTGGCGCAAAAGGAAAACGAAGCGAGAGAGATAGGGACAGGGATACATCAGTGAGAAATGCAAACACAAAAGCTGGACGCTCATCTCTGGGTAACTCTAAAGGTGACCGCAAAACAAAAACGAAGCCCAAGCAGAAGACTGCCCAGCTTTCTACATCCGGGAATGGATCTTATAACAAGTTTTTGGAAACAACAAACACCATGCACACCTCAGTTGCCGGTTCTGGAGAATGTGTCAACACCAATGGAAACATGAAAAAGGAAAGTAACATGCCGTCTAATTCAAGAGAGGTCAAGGAATCTGCTAACGGGGCGGCAAATTTGCCATTAAACGACATTGACCCAATAGGAGAACTAGGTGTAGAATCTGACCTGGGCGCACCTCAGGACTTCAATTCTTGGTTCAACTTCGACGTGGATGGTTTGGGAGACCATGATTCTATTGGGCTTGAAATACCTATGGATGACCTTTCGGAGTTGAATATGTTTTAGTCATCACATCATATCATATCATTTAATTGTACATGCTTGTGGGTGGGTGGGTTATTTAAGTGTTTAGTGGGATGATTTTTCTTGTTTTGATATTTAACATATATAGATAAGTATGGCCAATTGGTATTGTAATTATAGCCTTCTTTTCAATACACTTCTTGGTAAAGTATTCTCTCATTGTCAATGTAATCTAGTCAGTGTTGCCTTGTAAGACCTTTGAAACATTTAATTTTAAGTGCAATTTTGTTCGTCTCATCTTATTGCTCTATCATTTTCCTTTTTACTTATTTCAAGCTGTTTGTCTGTCCTATATAAATTGAGTGAATACTTAAAATGTCCTAGTGGTTTTTTTTCAATTTCGTCTAGACGACTTTGGTGACCTAATATAGTTTTGTGTTTTTACTTAATATAGTCTTTCGTGACTTTCTTTGTTATTCCGTCAAATTAGTGTTAAATAGATGAACAATTAAGTAATTTCAATATTGGTCCTTTTTTTTTCAGACATACAAAGTGCATAAAGAGTCATTTTTAAAGTCAAATTGACTGAATAATAAATGAAAACACCAAAGTCTGAGAGGTCAGTATTAAAATTACTTAATTGTCCTATTTAACATCAATTTTACTGAATAACAAATGAAACATCAAAATCTGAGACTATATTGGGTCACCAAAATCATTTAGGAGAACTTGAGAAAAACTACTGAAATTGCAGGAGTGTGTGACTAGCTTGATGAAGACAAATTTTGTGTGATTAGCTCAATCATGAAGGTATTGAAAACTCGTAATTTTCAGAAAGAATCCGGATTCGTCTACATCACAAGGAAAATAATGCAATTATAAAAATAATTAATACAGACCCATCACAAGGTAAGACAAATTCTTCTTCATATCTGCCGATTTTCAATCTATATTTTAGCTTATCGCCGGCTTACACCTTCGTCTCTATGTTCAGGAAACTATTATTATTGTTAATTTGCCAATGGAGTTTGTTTGGCGGTGGAGAAGCAGCTTTCATTTATCTATCATATCCTTCTTCGCAACTTCATTTTCCTACTGTTTGCTCCTCCATTTCGCCAAATTTATATTGTTTGCTTTCATTTCTCAACAGTTTTTACCAGCAATTTCTTTCTCAGCGAGAAGCAGGTAAGTTCATCGAAATTTAGATATGCGTCTGTAAATGTAGAGTAGTTATATTTGTAACAAAAAACTGAGCTCTCCTTCCTTCTTAATTGCTCTTAACTTTCTTTCATAGTTTCATGGCATCCACTTCCGGAGCTAGTCAACTGCTCCTTGATTCATCTTAACCTTCATTTCCACGTCGGAAGTACGATGTTTTTTTGAGTTTCAGGGGAGAAGATACACGCAGATCGTTTACGGATCATCTCTTTGCTGCGTTGTGTCGAGTTGGCGTTCACACTTTTAGAGACGCAGAAGAGGTCCATAAAGGAGAGGAAATCTCCATTGAGCTCATCAATGCGATTAAGGAGTCTATGATTTCAGTTATCATATTCTCCAAAAATTACGCCTCCTCCAGTTGGTGTCTTAGGGAGCTCGAGGAGATACTGAAATGTAGAAAGCGGGGACATCAAGCACTTCTTCCCGTATTCTACGATGTGAAGCCTTCTGAGCTCCGCAAACAAACAGGTGGATTTGTTGATGCAGTGACTCTACATCGACAACGCTTTGGGGACAAACAAGTTAGCCAGTGGAAAGATGACCTAAAGGAGGTTGCAGATTTCTCGGGTTGGGATTTGCAGAACGACTCTGACGGGTACTTGATCTCTCTCCCATTTTAAAAAACAAAATTATTGGTTGTTTATATTAGTTTTTTGGGGAAAGGGTCAAAATAGGCCTCCAAACTTTACACCAAAAATCAATTAGTCACTTAAACTAAAAAAGTGTAATTGAACCCTCAAACATGTAAAATTAAGTCAATAAACCTATAAATGATCGGTCATTTTAATTCTGGCGAGAAAATCCGGTGACGGGCAACGGCTTGGCCATCTACGGCGGAAGGTGACCAGTTGGTCGCCTTCTCCGGCAGAAGGCAATCAACTGGCCGCCTTCCCCGGTGGAAGGCGACCAGAAAGGTCTGATCTGGTCGCCTTCCGCCGTAAATGGTGACTGGCGACGACGTCGCCGTATTTTCTTGTCGGGATTAAAATGACCTGTAATAACGGATCATTTACTGGTTCATGGGCTTGATTGACTCAATTTGACATGTTTGAGGGTTCAATTGTACTTTTTTAAAGTTTAGGTGACTAATTGACTTTTTGTGTAAAGTTTAGGGGCCTATTTGACCCTTTTCCCTAGTTTTTTTTTCCTTGTTTCTTATGTCAATCATTCCCCTATGCCATTTACTACATCAACCAATAATTTACAGGTATGAATCAAAATTAATTGACAAGATTGTAGAAACAGCTCTACAATTGGTGAATCGTACATACTTGAATGTTGCAAAACACCCTGTTGGAATTCATACTCGTGTTAGAGAAATGCTTTCTTTACTGCAAAGTGAACCAAATGGTGGCGTTCGTGTGATTGGGATTTATGGCATGGGTGGGGTAGGGAAAACAACCCTAGCAAAAGCCGTATTTAATGAAATTTGTGGAACATTTGAAGGTAGTTGCTTTCTTGCAGATGTTAGCTCACAATGTTTGGACAGAAACAGTGCAGGTTTAAAACATTTACAAAAGCAGCTCCTTTGTAAAACTCTTGACACAACTAGATTTAATGTTGATCATGTTGATGAAGGAATTAGTTTGATCAAATTAAGGCTTGGATTAAAAAAACTTCTCATTGTTGTTGATGATGTAGACCATGAGAGTCAATTAGATGCATTAGTAGGAGAGCGAGATTGGTTTGGTTCAGGCAGTACAATTATCATCACAACTAGACATGTTAATTTGCTGAATGGCCCTGGAAAAGATTATGAAAAGTATAAAGTTGAAGTGTTAAGCTCCAAGGAATCTTTGCAACTCTTTAGCTTGTATGCTTTTAATAATCCAAACCCTTCGGAGGCTTTTGTAGAGCTATCAAACATGATAGTGAGTTATGTTGGGGGGCTTCCTTTGGCACTTATTGTTCTAGGCTCACATTTTCGAGCAAGATCATCAGTTCAAGAATGGAGGGGTGACTTTGAGAAGTTAAAAAAAATCCCTCATGATGATATTTTGAAGAAGCTCAAAATTAGTTATAAAGCACTAGATGATGATACTCAAAGAATCTTTCTTGATATTGCTTGTGCTTATACATATGGACAAGTGGACAACTCAACAAAGAAGAAATTGTTATGATATTAAATAGTTGTGGTTACCATGCTCAAAGTGGTATTTCAGTTTTAAAGGATAAATGCCTGTTAACAGAAGGAGATGTAAATTTTCATATGCATGGTTTAGTTCGGGATATGGGGAGAGCAATTGTTTACAAGGAATCTCTTTACCCTGAAAAAAGAAGTAGATTGTTTTTATCTGATGAAGTTTTGGATGTGCTCTTGAACAACAAGGTAACACTCCTATGCACTTGATTCTTTCATGTTGGGTTTTTAAATCACCTGCTTAGTAACACTGTATTCTCTTTCAATTCTTTATTTATTATTTGTATATACAAAGTCTGGACAGAATATTTGACTCTGGCAATTAATTTGTGTCATTTAGGACTGCCTGAATGTTTACAAAGTTTTTTTTTTTTTTTTTTTTTTTTTCCTGTCAGGGCACTGAAGCAATTCAAACTATGACGGTAGATGTGCAAACAAATGTGCCTTTGAGTACGAAGGTATTCTCTAAGATGACCAGATTAAGAGTACTCATAATCTTATCCATGAATGTCAGTGGATCTTTAAAATACTTGTCCGATGAGCTTAGATTGTTGTATTGGCGAAATTGTTCTTTGAGACGTATGCCTACTGATTGTCGTCTGAAGAAACTTGTCATTTTAGAAATGATTGAAAGTAGTATTGTGGAATTTCAACCCAAATTGCAGGTATGATATAAATGAAATTTCTTTTGACATTACATCTTTTTAAGCAAAGAGATATGATAACTCAATCAATTAGACCAATAGAAAGGAAGAAACTGATCACAGCTTTTTACTTGATTTCAACAGAACTTTATATGCTTGGAGGTTTTATGTCTTGAACATTGTGAGGAACTTAAAAGAGCCCCAAATTTCAGTGGAGCACACAGTCTAAAGAAACTGGTCATGTGGAACTGTTCGAATTTGGTTAAAATTTCAAAATCAATTGGAGATTTAAAAAACCTTGTTGAGTTAGATGTGGGATTTTGTAAGAATCTGAGGGAGCTACCAAGTAGCATTTGCAAGTTGAAATCTCTGAAAGTTCTTATGATGGAAGGGTGCCCAAAGATAAAAGAGTTGCCTAAAAAGTTGGGAGAATTGGAGCAACTATGTGAGCTTATTGCTGGAGGGACTTCTGTGTCACACCTACCCCTTTCTTGTGGATCTTTGAGATATCTCAGGTATATGGTACTAGGGCCGAAGGCTAACCTGACATACTCAGAAGAAATGTTCCAGAGTTTTTCATCTTCAGATGATAATTTATGTCCCTTGCGGACTCTAATTGCTCCTTACCATTATGTGCAACATCCAGGTCTTGAAATTGATTCTTTTTCCTTATTGTCAATTTTAGATCTTAGTGGGAGTAACTTCAATGCCCTACCCTTTAACCTTTGTCATCTTTCTGTACTAGAAGATCTCTATTTGAACAATTGTCAAAACCTTCGAGTGCTTCCAGATCTTCCACCTTGCCTACTTTTTCTGAAAGCAAGAAATTGTCCCTTGCTAGAAAAGCTACCAAATCTGTCTGACTTGAAGCTCAAGGAGTTGGATCTTTCTTACTGCAGTAACTTGACCGAGCTTCAGGGGCTGGGGAATCTCAAATCAATAAATTCTATTTACATAAGAAATTGTAGTGCTCTGAATATTAATTCTTGGTTTGTAAACTGTTTCAAGGTTAGTGTTCTCTCTCTTAATGTCCCTCTAATAGCACTATATATATATATATATATAATGCTAGCCATGAATTTATTTTATAACATATGCAGGCACATTCTCGGGGGCCTAAACTTTCAATATTGGTTTCAAAAGACATGGTTCGAGAATACTTGTGCAGCCACAAAGTATTTGGATCTTCACCACATAACACTTTGCAGCCGGTATATTTGGAGGAAAAACTGCGATTATTCATGTGGAGTCCAAGTTGGTGTACTGTTGGCTATGTTTTAAAATACAAAACCACAGGTGTTGAGTTGTTGAGTGGTTCATGGCGGGGCGATTATGAAGCTGCGGATGATCTTATGCAGTTGTCACTCTCAGAATATGGTTATTTTACAGAACCCATAAAAGTAGAAGAACTAGAGGTGTCTATCTCTATGGTTTTATGTCTGATGGAATAATATAATATGCATGCCATCATATTATTATTATTATTATTATTATTATTATTTTATAATAATAATCATAATATATTAGTCAAAGAGAAGAGGTCATCATGGCAAGCAAATAGGAAAGACTACGGGAAGTTATAACTTATAACTGTCAGGAAGTTACTTTATATAAAGGCTCAGGAAGACAGAGATGAGGGGTCAGTCTCAAATATAAACATCTCTTATACATACTCTTTCTCTCAACCAATTCTATGGCTATGGCCATCTGTGTACATGTACTACTCCAACAACCTAGTGGATTTCGGCTTGGCTTAGCCTAAAAAGGCTCGTGGTTTTCACCGTATTGATTTCCATGTTAAATATCTTTGTGTCCTGCATATTCATTTCTTATTTATTGATTCCCTACAATCCTTTTATCATTTATATTTTCTCCATGGAGATGTTTATTCATTAATTGGATTACTTAACACGGACCCCCGGGTTAATTAATTCCATCATTGGTGCTCTTGTTGAGAGCGGCTGTACAAGCTTAAGCGTGCTCTCTCCTATCTACCCTTAGCTGATTAAGCGCTCAAGATTAATTTGCTCTTCCTTTCATATATCACAACCGCGAAATATATCATTCATCTCTATAATATTCATATAATTATATTGTTCATCTTTTTTCATGCATAAGCAAACCTCGTTACTCCATCCAATTCCCATTCATTCATCTCGCACATGTCTTTAATATCTAAAGCTTTGTTGCATTTCCACACTACAATTCACCTCCATCAGTGACAGCTTCGGAATACATGTAGCTCTCAAATCTCTTCAACGCCGCATGGTTAATCTGTTTAGTGCCGTTCTTCATCGGAGCATCGGCGTTATACCAGTGCCGAGGTGGGTTCCGCGCAAAGGCAAGGTGGGGCGGCGGCTTCGGTTCTCCAGTTCGGGTGCACATCGGATTGCGCCCGTCTACTGCTGTGTTGGTGCTTCGCCTCCAGATTCATTGTTTGCCATTGGACGTCACAAGGCAGCAAATATCAGTGTTAGGCCCTGCGGAGTCGAGGCTCACGTCTTAGTGGTCGACTGCTGCCTCCGCGGATGCAGTTTCGGTGGTTGGCTGTGCATGGAGTGTCACCGGTCGGCCACGCATGAGCAAGATGGTGAGGGCGCACGGTTTGCTTTATCCACCTCGCACGCTGGCGTATCTTGTCCGGCAAGGAGAAGATGAAAGTTCGCTGGCCGTAGGTGATCCTACGATGTTCGACCGGTGGATGTCGAAAGAATTTCCGGAGAATACAAAGTTGACGCGGATCGGTACTCTGCAAGGGAAGGATAGTGACGTGATATGCAGTTCATTATCTTCTCATGGGTCGTGTATCTGTTACAATTGGTAAAGATAAGTTTTATTATCATTTATTATTACTATTATATTTTTATTATTATTAATAATATTATTCTTAGTTGATTTGTGAATGTGACCAATTGCTAATTTATTCGAAAATTACTGTTGTCACTTATATAACGTAATATGGTAAGCTCTGTGCTACCAATTATATTGCGAGGCAAGCTCTGCGCTGCCACCACCGAAATTTTACGGTAAGCTCAGCGCTGCCACCACCGAAATTTTACGGTAAGCTCAGCGCTACCTCTTAAATTTCACGGTAGCTTCGCGCTACCTCTTACAACAACAATTCCGAAGAATAAGTTTGGTGTTGGTCACATTAAATTAAAGGAAGATATAGGGATTTCCGAACCTATCTTCACTTTTAATTTCACATTTAAATCACTAAGTGCATGCGCTAATCATTTGTCAAACATAAGTCAATTATAGGAAATGGCCATAATGAACCCCTAGGTACTCCGTGTACCTAACCGCGAGTCTCATTATCATCTTCAATGCTCCGAGCAGGGAAGTAAGAACTTTGGTGCTCCGCGCACAAACATACTTTAATTTGGTGCTCCGCGTACAAACATACCTTGGTGCTCTGCGCACAAACATGCAGTCCAGACTACGCTGCTCGTTAAGGATGCACTCCGAGTGTGATCATTTTTATTCGGTGAACATCTGTTTTTTTACTTTCTTATACCGAAAAATACTTGCGGTTAAGAAAGTGGGGGACTCATGATGGAATAATATAATATGCATGCCATATTATTATTATTATTATTATTGTTATTGTTATTGTTATTGTTATTTGTTATTATTATTATTATTATTATTATTATTATTATTATTATTATTATTATTATTATTATTTGTCCCGTGCGATGCACGGAAAATATGTTATAAAAATATACCCTATATGAGGTTTATTCATATATAAAATTTTTGTTATTTAATAATTATTATGTGTGAATTCCTATGATAAAATTATGAACATAAATATATTTACAATTAAAATAATATTTAAGGTGGGTGATTACTACAAATCTTAAACTATATTAAAAATTTAGTACATAGTATTTAATATTACAAATTTTTAAGAACTTAGTAAACTACAATAGTAATTGAATTACAGTCACCACGGATCAAAATTTTTAGACCTTTGAGATTTCTAACTCTAGATGTAGCAACATACAATTGACCTTTAAAGACCAAAATCACAATTTTAGTTCGAACATTGATTTTTTCTTCCAAATACTATCGAATTAAGTGTGTAATCAATAAAAGATGAGAACTAATAATTCGAGAATATAATCTTAATGTTACTAAGCCTACTTCACGTCAATTAAGTTGAATAGTGTTGTTGGATAGTATCCGATGAATCCACGAATAACGCATCTTTGTCTCCGTAGTCCTCAATATGCACATCAACAATCTTAAATATTAGGCCGCCTAGCTATGCCATATATTAATTTCAAACTTATGAACTTTGGGGTTGCATGCAATAAAAAGTATATTTTAAATATACTAAGGGTACATTATATATGTATGTAAGGTACTTTCAATATAAAAATAATGTATTTTTAATATATTAAAAATGTATTTAATATTCATGATCCATACAATTATGTGGACCATCGTTCACACAATAATTTGCCAGTAGAAATTGAAATATAAATAAATATAATAAATAAATAAATAAATATATATATATATATATATATATATATTAGAATTTGTCCGTGGAAATTATTATCATTATTATTATTGTAATTATTATTATTATTATTATTATTATTGTTATTGTTATTATAATTAACAATATTATTATGGTCTTGTGAAAATTAAATGTTGATAATCACCATTTAATTTTCACAAGACCATATGGCTTTATTATATATAGGATTATTATTATTATTATTTTATAATAATAATAATAATATATTAGTCAAAGAGAAGAGGTCATCATGGCAAGCAAATAGGAAAGGCTACGGAAAGTTATAACTATCAAAAGTTACTTTATATAAAGGCTCAGGAAGACAGAGATGGGGGCCAGTCTCAAATATAAACATCTCTTATACATACTCTATCTCTCAACCAATTCCATGGCTATGGCCATCTATGTACATGTACTACTCCTACAACCTAGTGAATTTCGGCTTGGCGTAGCCCAAAAAGGCTCGTGGTTTTCATCGTATTGGTTTTCACGTTAAATATCTTTGTGTCCTGCATATTCATTTCTTATTTATTGATTCCCTACAATCCTTTTATCATTTATATTTTCTCCATGGAGATGTTTATTCATTAATTGGATTAATTAACACGGACCCCGAGTTAATTAATTCCATCAATGTCCATTAAAGCCAGGACTGGAAGAGAAGGTAACTATTCATCCATATATATATTAGGAAGAAAAAGATGGTGATGATGTCTACTTTTTTCCTATGAAGCCAAACGTGGAGATGAAGTTTTCCCCTGTTCCCATAACGCCCCCGCTGCCGCCTAGTAATGCCTCTAAATCTAGGATGGCTCTTATGATGCTAAGAAGCTTCAGAGAAGGAAGGTTATATCAATTTAGATCGGGTAAAATGGTTAAGGTGTTGAAGGACTAATATCTTCATCTCTCAAGAATAATCGTTATACTGTGAACCATAGGCTATATTGCAAGGTGCACCATTGATATACATGTTTATTTTTAGTGTACAATAATTTCATTTTTAGTGTATTATCTAAAAATAAATCTATAGTATATTACAAATAAACAATCTATATATATATATATATATATATATATATATATATATATATATACTAAAAATGAATATGTATTAGTTGTTTACCTTAATACACACTATAAATCTATAGTGCTATGGAGGAATCCACAAACTTCGAAATTTCCAGGATCCTTAGCTTAATTAGTTGAGCTAGCTAGGCAGGTTGGGCAATGCCCTATATTTTCCCAACAATATATATAAAATAATAAATTTGCACTATTTGTAGTATCACTGCATCAATGACCATCTCATCTGTTGCGAGGTTTAGTCAACGAGTTAATTAGGTGGCCAAAACAAGTGAATACAGATACCAAATGGAGCTAAAATGGACCTTAATTATTTTCATCAAATCATCAAAGAAAGGTACAACTACCAATACCTAATAATATCCTATCCTATACATATATACACACCACAACGTAACTACTTGAGAACTTCTTGTCATTTCCTATGTCTTAGCTTTATACCACCCTTAGTTTCACTTGTATAAATACCCTCCCATATCTCTTACCTTCCTCATCAATACATACAGATGCTCAGCTTACAATTACTGTAGTAGTTTTGGAGAACCATGAAGTATACAAGGCTATGCAAATTTAACATAGTAGAAGAAGAAGACGACTCGAGCTTTCAAAAAGAGGCCGGTTATAACGGTTGCACCCGAGGAAAGAATGATCAATTAGGTGATGATAACAACCGGAAGGTGAAAAGCTTGAGAGAAGCTATACAAAGAGTAATTGCAACAAGGTCAGTGCAGACACACAACGATTCTTCTAAACATGCTAACAATATTATTTTGTGCGATAAGAAATGAAAACGTTAAGTGAGGATATATAACTACATCTTTGATTTGGTTCCTTAAT